TTTTAACTCTGATAATGTTCGAGATTTCCCTTCTCATTTTCTTTAGCATCGAATAGTGAGCCTGAAAGTAAGATCAAAATTTCGACTCGAAATTGCACATAATTTATAATAATTGCACCATAATTTATAATAATTTATCCATTTCCATTTATCCATTTATTTATTTCTCCATTTAAGTCAAAATTTTGGCTCTATATTAAAACTTAAATTTATACGCAATTCTATACGCAATAGGAGCTAAGTTAGCAAAGTTGATTTATTGCTAATGATACAATTTACTCCTATTTTAACTCTGATGATGTTCGAGATTTCCCTTCTCATTTTCTTTAGCATCGAATAGTGAGCCTGAAAGTAGGATCAAAATTTCGACTCGAAATTGCACATACAAGTATCAAATATTTTTTCTCAGTGCAGTATCTAGACATCGGTACCTCTATCTTACCGCGCGTCGTGTGCGCGCCGACGATGTCCAAGTCTATACGCGCGCGAAAGAGGTGAAGGTGTTATAAGGATAAAATTCTGCTGAACGCGGGCCAGGCGTAATGCTTAACGACGCGTGCGGAGTCATGTATGACATTTACACGAGAGTTTTCCGCGTCATTGCGCGGCCCGCTTATTATTCAAAGGGTACGCATTCATGTCGATGCCGCCGATAAATTTTTAAGCTCCGGTGCACCTTTTTTACGCGGCCGCCAGCAGACGGGAGTATGGATTTTAGAAAATGTCACACACGCGCGTTCCCCCTCCCCCGCTCCATCGACATGACAGCGGTGTTGATCTCGCGTATCGTGGACCGACGACGGGATCGATCGCGAATTAATCGTACGTGCCGCTTCTCGATAACGGACGGTCTCTCTCTTAACGGGCGGTGAGCGCGAGCCGAATATCAAAGATGAAAATTGAGCGCGCGCGCGTGCGCACACGGACGAGATGGAAAATTTCATTCTCCTCTCTTTCCGCCTGGACTTTTAACCGAGATAATGCATTCTTCCGTTTCGTCGGTCGTTCTTGTAATACGCGATATAATTCAACGCGCGTTCTTGGCAGCGTTTCCGATTAATTAACTTTTTGGCAATCGACGTTAGCGAGAGCCTACGTGAGCGCTAAGTGCTCTCCATTTGCGACCCGCGATCCGCTTTTCCGCGAGCGGCAAATTATCGGGCCGTAATTTATCGCGACGGACGACGATCTGAAATCCGGTCCGCAGCTCCTCGTTTCCCCCTTCTTTTCCGCCCGAAAGCGCAGAGACGCGAGAACTGATTGGGTCAATCAGCGGCCCTGATGACATCTTGGAACGAATACACACGGCTTCGAACGAGAGACAGAGAGGTAAGGACGGGAGGACAGAGAAGGAGAGCAATTTGTAACTGCAATCCGCAGTTTCCTTTCCCACGCATTTACATCGAAATCCGTTCCTATGCATATACAGTTCTTCCATCTCTCCCACTCGCTGTTTATCTTCCTCTCGCATTCACTCCCATCCTCCGACTCGTTCCTCTCTCGTTTTCTTCTCTGAACGGAATATCCTATCCTGTCGCTCATTTCTATCCCTGTTTCTCTCTCTATCTTTCTCTCTCTCTCGCCCCTCCCCCTCTCTCTCTCATCTCATTTCTTCCCAAAGCTAGACAACCGACTCTTTTTCTGTCATTTTACGCTCCTTGTCTGTCCGCTTTTGTCCGCCTATGACGTTCTTTTTCCCCTGCCGCGCTCTATCCTCTCGACGTCTGCGCCTACCCGACTTCCTCCACTGCCTGTCGCGATAGCTATATCCCGCAGTCGATCGTCACACGAGAATAATGTTTTTATTCGGCACGATTGCGCGCCGCGTTTCGCGGGAGGCGTGTTTTTCGCACGGTTAACGATCTCGCCGATTCCACAACGCATTTCGCGACGGTCGCCAGACGAAGAGCGTGATGTTTCGTTTTTACATCGGTCCACGCGCGACGCTCATCGTCCGGATCGATCTGAGGGTTCACGGCGGTCTTATCGGTTTTAACTTGCACACGCGAAGATAATCGGAAAAGCGAAGCGCGAATTTCGCCAACCTCTCCCCCGAGAACTGACTCACACACGTATAATCTTTCGCATAATAAATCGCTTCGACGGCGATATCAGCGGCGAGATCAGATGCTATCGGTATTATCTGTTACGGAGGCGCAACGGGTAAACGAAGGGGAGCGCGGGGGAGGACGGTAGGTGGACGACCGCGGAAATCAGTGACGCTTTCTCTCTCTCTCTTTCCTTTCCCCCTCTCTCTCTCTCTCTCTCTCTCTCTCTCTCTCTCTCGGCGACCCCCGTCCTAAGGGCTTTGCGCGAGTTACAAATGCGGTTTTGTATCTAGCTGCGCGGGACAAAGTAATGGGCTTAGATAATCCTGATTTAATAAATCGAACAGTTATGAGGCGAGAGGCGCGGCAGGACCGAGGACGGCAAGGGAGAAACAACGACGACGATGACGAAGACGACAACCACCACCACCACTACCACTACTACCGCCGCCGCCGCCGCCACCACCACCAGCAGCAGCAGCAGCAGCAGCAGCTCCCCGCCCTGCCGTTTCGCAACGTGCGCGTGACTAATGCGTTCAAAAACAAGATGGATGGATCCGCGGACCCGGCCCGGTCGGGACTTTCTTTGCATTTACATTTTCGCACTGTATCAGTCGCGACGATTTAAAGAATAACGATCGGATGGGCTTTGCGGCGCGCCCCAAATCGGTTTTTCATCGTTTCGCCGAGAAAGGGCGATTCGCGGCTGCGAATCGTTTCAGGTCTCTTCGCGGCTAAATTGCCCGGAGAAATTTATATCTTTGCATACATACGTACATACCCATACACACACACACACACACACACACACACATATATATATATATATACATGTATATATACACACAAAGAGAATTTTATAGTAAAAATTACTGTAGAACTTTGTAACCGAAGAATAGATCGACACATTCTTTCGTAATTGACTATCACTTCATCTCTACTACTCATATTTTAGAAACTGGAGTATGCTGTTAAAAAATTTGCTATACTTTTAAAAGAATTTATTACGTTCCTTAGCAAGATGGATCTTATTGACAATCTATTCCTGGACTACAAAAAACAATAAAATTTAAAAAAATTTATATAAAAAAAATTATTATATTCTCTGCGTGTACATGTATACGTATGTATACTCGTATATATGTATTTACAATGACTCTCCCGCACAAGAGATATTTCCTTATTCTTTACTTTCATTTCAACGGCTCGAAAATAAAGAATCGTTGAATCGTCTCGCACGATCTTGATGAGCGTTACGCGCGATCTTGATGAGCCGCATATTTAGCAACATTATTTTGCAAAAGAAAAGCGCGTAACAAGTTCTTCGCTCGACGGGACGCAGCGTCCGCGTTTCTGGCGTGGTGGGACGTCGTGTGTTTGGATTTATTAAGGGCTTAATGAAATGCTTTATCGTCTTTAAAGCTTGCTTTAGCAAAGTAAACAGGGTCGCTGCTAATAGAGAGAAACTAGGTCGGCTTGCACGATCCCGGGGGAGAGTTCGGTAAACTTAGCATCAATTTCGATTGTCCTCAGTTCTCCTCCTCCGATCCGTTCAACGGGCATCGCGGATAATTGCGAATCCTCGCTATCTTGCGCTTCGATATTTTGACACGAGTGTCTCTCGACACTTTTCCTCCCGCGATGTGCTTCCTCTCCAATTTATAGATCCACAACGCGACGATTTTGTACGACTCGAGCACAAAACCTCTGGCACAAAACGGTCGAGTAAATCCTTCCTTCCTTCCTTCCTTTGTCAGGCGACTAAATTTAACGACAACTTAAACGCACCGTCTATCTTTTTCCTCGCATCTCCCCCGCACCATCCCTCACGCCCCCTCCTTCCCCCCGCCCCCCCTAGAGCCGGCAGGAAATACAAATTGGACTTTCGTTGCGGGGCCGAACTGCCTTTTTTACGTCCGACGTTGCTGCAGTCAATCCCTGCAGATTGTCCATTCGCCTGCCTCTCCGTTATCTTAATTCCTCGAGTATTTTAATTTTCATCCGAACAGCCATTAACTTTTACGGCCGGCCGTTTACTTTTTAATTCGTTTACCGCTTCGCGCCCGCGCTCGCGCCGGGACGCTTATATCTTTAATTTAAGCTCTCGACTTGGCGGCCATTGAACAAGCCTGCGGATTGGGGTTGGATACGGAAGAGCGGCGGTGGCGGCGGCGGCGGCGGCGTTGGCGGTAGCGGCAGCGGGGGTGGCTAGAGGAGAGAGGCGGCGGAGGTGGAGGAGGAGGAGGAGTTTAGCGGGGGCCACACGCTGGCATGGATCGGGGGTGGTTTGTGGGTGCAATCGCTACGGTGAAGCTCCCCTGTGCTCCCCTGACACCCGTTACGTTAATTAAATACATTGTTGCGGGGACACAGACTCCTACTGTGTATCTCGAGCTTTATAGGTGCAGAGGGGCACCTTAAGTTAGCGCCGTTCCTACCTCCCCGCCGACCGTCCCCGCAGGGAGGGAGGGGGGCCAGTCGATGAATTTTCTCTCCGGGGCCCGTTGCCCGTTAATTCAAATGTTATAGACGCCCGTTAGAGTCGAGCCCGGTGTATTAATCGAGAGGTCGAATGAACTCCACGTGTGGACGATGTCAGGGATGTCGACGTCGAGAGTCGGCAATTCCCCGGCAATTCGCCGCGCGCGCGATTCGCGCCGAAAGAACAATTGGGATTTTTCCTTTTTTTTTATTTCCGGCTGCATTCGTTCTTCTGACACGTCGATGAGTTCGTGAATATATCCGAAAATTATATTCCCCCTGTCTAATGTTTCATGTTTCGACCGTGAAATACGAGAAGAGGCTCTAACTGAGAAGACGGTGTGATAATTATAGGACACGTTTCGACTTATTCATTGATTTATCAACTTTTCGATGCACGAATGTGTCGAAAAATCGTAGACGCTTAACCCGCGTAGCCATTGATACGAACGTTCGACTTTCGATTTCCAGGTGTGGTTCCAGAATCGGCGGACGAAGTGGCGGAAGAAGCACGCGGCGGAGATGGCGACGGCGAAACGACGGCAAGAGGAAGTCGAGGGCGTCGTCGCCGAGGGTGAGGACGGGTGCAGCGACGCGGAGGCCGACGGCAGCGGCGGCGGCGGCGGCGGTGGCGGCGGTGGCGGCGGCGGTGGTGGCGGTGGCGGCGGCGAGACCGCCGCGAAGAGGCTGCGAAGGGAGCTCGAGCAGCAATACAGGCACTGAGGGCCGCCGACGGGGGTGGCCCGGGGACACGCGGGGGTGCGAAAAAAGGGGAAAAGAGGGATGCAGAGGAGAAGGATAAGGCGTGGCTGGGGGCGGCGCGTTCCGGGGTTCCTCGCGGCTTCTGTTCGGAGAACGCGCGTGTCGGCTTCGAAATGATCGCGGAACGACCGAACGGCGGAAAGAGAGAGAAAGAAAAAGGGAGAGAGAGTGAAACAGAGAGAAAAAGAGAAAAAAGGCGACGTACGTGTGCGAGTGTACGCGCGTGTATTTCCGCATGTCTCTCTTCGTGATTTAGCCGGACGCTTAACGCGGGATCGCGAGTGACGGGGGTGGTCCAGGGGTAGGGGATAGTTGGGGGTGGCGGATTTCCTTTGAATTGGGCGGAAAGTGGAGGAGGGGGCGATTTGACAATTTTTAAGAATGCGGGGCGTTATTGATACTCACGTCGTTGTCTCGATTTTACTGGGTCAATTTTGGTTGAGGTACGAGAGCGATTAAAAAGTCGAAGGATTTACGAAGGAGATAGACGAGATTTCGAGATAACTTCAGATGGATTCTTCTATTACCTCGGCTGGAATTTTAATTCGGGGCTGGGCTGCCTCGCCCTCTCCTCCCGGTTATGTTCAGTGTCGAAAATCGTATGAGAGTATGCGGATTTCGTAGGTGATCGGGCACAACAATTCGCGAATGCAAAGAGACCGCCGATTCAAGGTTCGCGCAATTCCAAAGTTCCGAACTGATGAACCCGAGAGATTAAGCCAGAATCAGGCGATTAATAATTTCTCACTTGCATATTGACCTGCTGAAGTTCAGTTCACTACATCGTTATCGTGCACTGGAAGATCCATGCAGTGAACTGTAGTCTATCAGTATGCATGTAAGGGAGGGAATTCACATCTTGGCACAAAAGCGGAAAACAGAAAGACTAAAGCCAATCAGAACTCGCGTTGTAGCAGAAAAACAGAAACCGGCTACTACTAGACCGCGAGTTCTGATTGACTTCTGCCTTTCTGTTTTCTGCTTTTCTGCCAAGATGTGAATTTTGCCTGAAAAGACATGAAATCGCGTGATTCTAGCTTTACACGCATTAGACGCAATCATCTCGCAAACGACTGCGCGTTTATCGAGCCGACTCGATATCACGACTTCGCCGCCACGGTCGCCAGCATGTTTGGCGGGAAATAACACAGCAGCAACGCGCAAACATTGTTAACACTTTCCCGGGGCGACGTGTTACCATATGACAAAATCTCTCGATCGCGTACGCATATTTAGTCGCTCGCTGCGAGTGGCACGCGGAGGAGGAATCGATAGGAAGGGTTTGCCGAGCTGCTTACGCGATGGCAGATTAGTCGCCAGGGGCTTTGTTATCCATCCGACAAACAACGCACAGCAAATATGGCAAACAACGTGCACGACGCGACGTCACCCGTCAAGAAGGTGTTAATGGATAACCATAAATCCAAGAGGCCGAAGGGCAATCTGTACGTTCAAGCGTTCCTAACTAGTCGACCATTATTGGGGAAAATCGCGCAGAGAACTCACTCGTCCTTTAATTGAATAAATAACTACACGACTAAACGACAAATTTTTGCAGGGCAAAAATGCGGGCCATGATCATTTCGTTTACCACTTATGAGATAAAAGTGCCAACGCTCGGACACGTGCTTAACTCTGGGCATTTATTGAGAAAAAATACTTGAAAACTTATTTGTGAGATATAAAGAGTTATTTTTTACAAAAATAAGCTTTATCTCACAGAAATAAATTTTGTTTCTTGGAAATAAACTTTATATGGCACAAATAAATTTTCGAGTATTTTGTTCTCAGTGTTGCTTTGGATCTTAAATTTTGGACTTTTCAACGTAGAATATCCTAGCAAATGCTAACAGTCACATTACGTCATTGTTACAATTTCCCCTTCAACAATGTAACTGTTAGATAATACACGTGTTATGTTGCATTTGTTGAGCGAGAATTTATAACATCAATGTTATATTGCTGACAGTTGGTGTTTACTGAATATATGTATATATATTCAATATATGTGTATATAAGGCGAGGCACTTAACATTAGATTCCAAAATATCTCTGTTGTTTTTTTTTTTTTTATTAAATTAAACGTGTAAAGAATAAATTGTGCAGTTGAAAGAGATATATTGTGATCAGCTGATCACGCAATTTATCCCTTGCACATTCTCGTCTAATATAAAAAGCGACAGAGATACTTTAGAATCTAACGTTAGGTGACTTATCCTATATATTTCTATGTTGAAAATTTAAATATTCGTATTTAGAAACCCCCCGAGACAATAAGAATTTCCAGAATTGAGTACATGTTCAGGTGTTAGTTTATTTTTATCTTAAGTCATGCGATTGGGCACTCGATCGAAATCACATTTTGAATTTCACAGATTCGCGGATACGACATAAAAGCAAATCAATTTTTACAACAATACTGTTCAACATGCGCTTCATCCTCGTGTGTGTTGCTATTTTGTGAAATACGTCATAATTCCGCACTTTTCCTAAACGTTTTATACCTTTCAGTGAATTCTGCGATTCCTTGATCGCGTGTTGAACAGCACTGACAAGTACTATTCAAATCTACTCAAAAGTTACACTCCGATTTCTTTCTAATTTGGCACAAATGTAGAAGTACAAAAAATATTTAGGTCATATTTTTTTATTTTGGCATATCTGGAGTTTCACGGACAGTTTATAGCTTTTTAATGTTCTTACTCCTATCATCAAGTACAATAAAAATGCATAAGAAAATTAAATACAAGATATAAGCATTTTTGGTTTGCTGATTGAATATGAAGTTAAATGTGTAAAATTATTTGTATAAATAATAAAATGTTTAAACAAAACATGTAAAAAATTGAAAAAAATTATTTATACAAATAATTTCTCGGTTCGGCCGAGATTCGAGCCATTTTTGATTAATTTTGCCCAGATCTGAAATATTTCAGTTGGAATCTCAGCTAAAGAAATTTAGAATGTCTCAGCTATGTCGATTTTGTTAAAATTTTAATTAAAATTACCGGATTTCTTTCTCTCTCTCTCAGTTTGGTCGAGATTTGAACCATTTTTGACTGATTTAGCACAGATCTGAAATATTTCGGTTGAAATCTCGGTTAAAGAAATTTAAAATGGTTCGTATCTCAGCTATACCGATTTTGTTAAAATTATTTAACTATATCTTGTACTCAATTTTATTTCTTATGAATTTTTATTGTACTTGTTAATGATAGGAGTAAGAACATTAAAAAGCTATAAACTACCTGTGAAACTCAAAGTGGGCCAAAATGAAAAAATATGACCTAAATATTTTTTGTATCTTTACATTTGTGCCAAATTAGAAAGAAATCGGAGTGTACCTTTTGGATAAGTTTACTTGTGAATGATTGCAGATGGAGCATCGCAACGCGTTAATTCGATCGATCGTAGCGAACTAACAACTCGGTCTTCTTCTCGAAATGAATCACGAAGTACCATGAAAATTACGTATCGCGGTCAAACTTACGGGTCTATCGTTGGGGGAGAGGAGGAGGGGCATCCAATAAAATCAACGGTGTGAGAAATTTCACGTGAGTGTCAAACACGTTCGAGCAAACGCGCGTTTATACCGGCGAATTACGACGACGACGAGTCGGCAAATGGACTTTGTATATTATGTAGATAAACGGTAAACGTGAATGTGATATCTAACGTATTTAATACGGCGTTCGGTTTTAGAGGCGCGTAAGTGAAGTAACTAGATATCGTCTGTTTAGACTAAAATAAAAAAAAAAACGCAGAGGAATAGGAATATAGCGTATACCACGTACACACACCCGTGCGCACGCGCGCACACATATACACACAGACACAAATAAATCGCACGTGGCGTGCGCCTAAACTCGTAACTCTTGGTCTGTTTTTTTAGCCGCACTTTCTTGCACTTTCCGCATTTAAAATGAGACAGGTGTATATTCGGGATTCGCACGAAGAGGGAGAGGGGAAGAGAAAAAAAGGAGAGAAAACAAAATGCGAAAAGTGCAACTAAAAAGAACGAACCTTCTGTATTCTTGCCGCAGGTTATCGCTAAATACGGTCGCCTGATTCCGCGTTTTATTCGCCCAATACGAAAGGCATTATTTTAATAGAGCACACGGAGCTTTAATTTGTGAAGTGTAATGCGGAGACTTTGTAATACGCTTTGCTAACTATCTAAGGCCTCTTCACGGCTTTGTATACAGTGTATCTCGACGAATATAAAAGAGATATGCCGTTTCAATATATACATATATATATATCGAAATAATCTATATTATGTATGAAACTCTCCGCGCGCGCCGTGATTAAATATCAAATGTAATATAAAATTGAATATCAAGTTATTTTTTTTTTAATTCCTCTTAGAAATTCTTATTCCAGAGTCTATTCTATTTTTTAGTTCGAATACTTTCTGGTACAAGAAAAGGCTGCAAAGTATTTCACGAATAGAACGACTGGTTTATGTGAAAACGTATATGCGAGACTGAAGTCAGGCTACCGTTTTTAGTCGAACTTGCGACAGGTATACGAGCTGCAGACCTTGATAAAAGCGTTAATCGCTGTGTTCAGCAACGGACAAGGCTTTGATTTGAGGCGCCTGTGAACGAGAGAAATGTCTCGAAAAACACGGACAAAGAGAGAGAAAAACTGAATGCTACTTCGCGCGCTGCGATTAAACGAGCGGATCCAGCGTTTCTTAAACGCGACCTAAGTTTCTCATAATGTTTATCGAGTATCCGACGACACATTGCTGTACAGTAAACTAGGTAAATTGTTAATTGAAGGTAGAGACAATCTGTATAAAATATTGTATAAATTATACATACGTGTTATCTATCGCTTGTGTATTATATCTCCAATTTAATAAATGGAACACGTATTATGGTAATTGTAGAATTATATTATATATCTCGTAATGTGCGTTTGCTTCATTTTCCCGTCCCATCCCCTCCTCGATTGCATCGTATGCACGATTTTCAGCGTCGCGTTAAAATCATTTCAATAATAATTATGCGTGTGCGTTCGATTCCCGAATTTCCCGAATCACTTAATAAATATTTGTTCATCGCGCACAAAACAAAATACCACGTAAGTAACGCTGATAATAATAATAACGTTAATAATGGTAAATAATCAAAATAATAATAGTTAATAATCAAAAAGGCAAACCGCCTTATTCTTATTCTAAACTGCTTAAATTTTTCTCCCTTCAGACTAATACCAGTTTTGTAGTTCACAAATATGTGTACACAGAAGAAAAAAGATATTCTTGTTTGGAAAATATTTTAGTTTTTTTTACATGTTAATCTTCAAATGAGATTACACAGCATTAAACGAAGATCAAGTTACTTGCATAAATATATTTCATATTTCATGATTTTTTCAATATGAAATATGAAATATATTTTTGCAAGTAACTTGATCTTTGCTTAATGCTATGTGTTATCTTATTTGAAGATTAACATGTTAAAAATAGAAAAATTTCCTAAACAAGAATGTTTTCTTTTTCTATGAAAATTAATTATACTGATATTGAAGAGATGGAATAAACTTGAAGAATGCTCAAGGTAATAAAGCACTCACCGATGATGACTCGACGATGAAGACCTGATGATGCTGCTCAACTCCTATCCTCAACCACACTGTCCTGTCGTGTATCTACGAATTCAAATGCGCGATTCTGCGGAATCGTAGGCCTTCTTGTTCCTTTAATCCACCCTGCAAATACCATTTATTGTATACTATATGTAGAAATATGAGCAGTACATATAAAATGAAAAGATAGTTAATTACGACAAAATGTGAATTTATTTCTCGGTTACAAGTTGTTCTATAGTAATTTTCAGTATACAACTCTTGTTGTGCAGGCATATATTTAGCTATGAAATCGATGTGGTAACAGTAACAGAGCTACACTTGGGGCTCAACTATCAGATATTTACTCAAAAAACTCGATCTATCTCAACGTGACGAAAGCGAGCTGTCCGAGCAGGAACGGTTGCGCACGACACACCGTCTCACCTTTTGAATCTGAAGCGTTTGACCGGGACGACGTTTCACGCGTCATCTGTGGGCGGCGTAACGACCTACTTGCTCGTAAGCAAACAGTTCTATAGTCTATTCTTTTTAGCTGTACTGCTGAACTAGTGCAATAAGTTAAAGTGAAACAAATATACTTTCTCTCACTCTAACTTATTGCACTAGTTCAGCAATGCAGCTAAAAAGAACAGAGCACTAGTCAGAATAACCAATTTTCAACAAATCCTGGTTAGTTGTACAACAGAATCTATTTTCTCTCTCGTTTAGTAAAAGTTGCTATGGAGCTTTGTAACCGAGAAATAGACTGACACTCTACAATAATGAATTATTCTTTCTATTTGTGTCTACTACTTATATTTCAGACACTGAGATGTACTATGAAAAAGCTTGCTGTTTCCAGCGAAATTTGCTCTGATTCTAACGAAATAACTTTACGTTGTGTCATCGTATGGCATATATCAATCGAAGCTGTGTTATCGATAAATTGAAGAGACAATTTATCTATTTAATTAGTACTACACACGAAATAAATCGAATTATGTGATGCGTTTTGACCGCGATGATCACGGCAGCGTAATATTTCTACCGGAATACGAGGTTTTTATCACAATAATATGGCTTCGTTAATTTACCGAGGCTCTGGTCGAGGAGCGACATTTCGATGGGAAAATCTCGTGAAATCGGACTCGGACATTCGTGAATTCATTTGACGAGTCGCAGATGATGTTTGTCTCACGAAGGAAGTTACTCTTAAGACTCAACTATCAGATATTTACCCAAAAACTCGATCTATCTCAGCGTGACGAAAGCGAGCTGTCCGAGCAGGAACGGTTGCGCGCGAATATACGCCTCACTTTTTGAACCTGAGAGGAGTTTGACCGGGACGACGCTTCACGCGGCATCTGTAGGCGGCGTAACGACTTACTTGCTCGCAAGTCATCGTACCGCCTACAGATGGCGAGTGAAGCGTCATTTTCAAACTCGAAGTTTGTCGGTTGTCCGACAGCGCGAGCGTCGAGCGTTCCCGATTTATTTTGCATCTGCTGTCACAAATTTATAACCCCAATTTCACGCATTCAATAACACAATATATCGGAAGTTACAAAGAAACAATGAATATGAATGGAAATCATAAAGTTAAATTATCCCGCAAAGCAGGCTAAAGACACGGCTAACTCAGTGAGAAATGACTTATCGATCGACGTCGAAATCATCAAATCGACGTCGATTCGACGTCTATCGGTAAATCATTTCTCACTGGGAATGACTCAATCACTAAAGGAATTAAGGAAAAAAGAATAATAACACAACTAAATTATCAATGCAAAATCGATTAAAATATGCGAAGTATTCGTATCAGCGAGCTAAAGTAGAGTATCGTGCTCGATTTATTACTGTGCTCGCCGAATTTCATTCATCATAATAATAAATCATTCATCTTCGTCGCGAAAAATACAAGTATCGATATAAGTTAAGACCAAAAGCAACATTTTTAATGAAAAGAAAACTGTGCGACAGTCAAAGATATGTGTACGATACTTACCTCTTCACAATCCCTTCAGCACGTGTCGATGTTGAAAATTCTCCTTCGTCGCGCAGAGGGACCGGGAAGGAGAGGAAGGGTCGACCGAAAGCGAGAGAAACACTCATAAACAAAGGGTAAGGCTCGCGCACTTGTATTTACAGCCGCTCTCTATCGATTCCGGATAAGTACGGTGATTAATGTTACGAGAGTTTTCGCGACTCGTAAAAGTCGGCATACGTAAGAGAAAGCGGCGGCGGTCTTTTTACACCGAGGGTGACCCTCTGTCCCGGCAGAGAGGAGGGCGCGACGCCCCCGCTGGGGGGATAACACTCGCGGCATATCGGCACGACAAATTTATCGCGGTGTTAAGCCGTTAATATTCGCCCGCCTTCCACGGTCGCCAGGCTTTAAATCAATGGGAAATATTCCTAATTGGAATATGGAAAAAGTTGGCCCAAGTGCGCGCCCGACGACGACGACGACGACGACGACGGGGGTGCCCCGGCCGCGCGAGTCGCATTAAAGGATAAGAATATAAATTATCTTAACGAGTAGTGGCGCACAGTCGAGAAAAAATGGCAAGAAGTTTCCGATTAAGGCGCGGATCGCACGGACGTGTATTGAGCTACAGACTGCGCGAGTTATTGACGACGCGAAAAAAGTTCGGCACTTCCGAGAGGGGGTTTCGCCCCCGGAGGCTGTCACCCTCGTCGAATGTTAATTGCAACAACCGGCTGTTGCACGACCGACTGTCAAATCGGCCAACTTTCCGCGAATAAACGAGCACATGAGGTATACAAAAGAAGGAACGCTCGCGCGACGCCAAAGCGCCGTTCGTACCGCGAAAATGTGTCGACCTGATCATAGTTCTTCGTTATTTCCATCGGGATTCAGTGTTACGCGAAGTCTCGGCTCGCGATGAGCTTTGTTAATCGAGCTTCGCGTGTGTCGTCGCGATGAAAAGTGACAAAATTCGACGGAGTGAATGACACTAAATCGCATCGAACTACTCGAACCGACATCGAAACTAAGGCGAAAACCAAAGCCAAAGTGAAATTACAGGTCGCCGGGGTGCTTTGGAAGAGTCGGGAATCGGCGAGGCGCTGAGTATTATTTGGCGCGGGGCGACGCGACGCGAGAGCGGCTGTGTACGCGGCACGCGGCGAGCGACTGACTCAACGGCTCCGCGGCCGGCCAAGTGTAAACAGTCGCGTAGGTGACTCCTCGCAGTACGCTCACAGCAATACGGCCTACACGCAGTAATCGCCACGCTCCGTATACAAGGTATTCAATTATTACGTGCGCTACATTTTTACATTCATACCAGTAGATTGATATCAAATTACTAAATCGCTATGTTCTCACTCTAATATTTGTCACTCTGCTTCACTATTGCTCGCGACTGAAATCGCCGTTTTCTTATTTCTCATTATGGTTCTTAACATTGGAAAATTATAAAATTGTCAAGCTCTCCTCGATATTATTAATAGCAAACTTGTAGAAAATTATCAAAACAACGAACGTAAATTTATCAGATTTGAATATTGGCAATAATATTGAATTGCTGAATTACTGGATTTAGATATTTTAGCTTTGGTATTTGCAGCTGATTTGCGTCGTCTTTTATTTTTCATCGTAGTTTTTAACATTGAAAAACCGACGTATCAAAGACGCTAAAATTATCAGGCTTTCCTCAACGTTATTAATAGCTTCACAAACTTGCAAAAAATTACTAAAGATGTGAATGTAAACTTATCATATTTGAGTGTTAAATCGACAATAATATTAAATTGCTAAGTTGCTGGATTTAAACATTTTAACTTTGATATTTGCATTTTATTGGCTTTTACCAACAATTCAATGGTGATTGACTGCATCGTTTTTTATTTTTCATCGCGGCTTTTAATATGGAAAACTCTCTGTATCAAAGACGCTGAAATTATCGGGTTTTCCTCGACGTTATTAATAGCTCCGCAAACATGCAAAAACTACCAAAGTAGCGAACGTAAATATATCATGTTTGATGGATACATTCATACATATACATTTATACACGCACACACATATATATGTATATACATCTTATATAAAACAGAACGCGTGTCTCGGAGAAAGTAATTGAAAGAAAAGTCAGACTCGGACAATGCATTCGTAAGCATCGCCCGATCACAAAATGCAACGATGTGACATCGTGACACGATTACACGGCGAAACGTATCGACACAGGAAAAAAAGCGCAGAGATTGTTCGATACACATCCTCACGTGATGGATGAAATGACAGCGAAATTCACGAAGTAATCGATGAAAAATATTGCTCCATATCGTATTAAAGTTTTCGTATTTATTATAGTGAAGTATCGATCGATCGTTCGTTCGTTCGTTCGTTAAGTGTCCGTATCTGCGAAATCGAACTTCCGAGTTAGATATTGACACACATACACACACGCGCACATATATATGCATACACAGGCGCGAAAAATTGCGTAAACGCAATCATTCTGCTTTTCGTTTCTCACGCGCTCGCAGAAGTTCGAAATTTCGCGTCTCAGTGTTCGAACAATTCGTACAATTCGTTGGAACCATGTTTTTCAATATAAATTAGCATTACGTTAAATTAGCTACTCTTAAACGGTAGTGCGACATTGGAAATCCTCGAGACGGTTCTGTTTAATCCTGTGCGTCCGACACAACGGATCGCATCCTTGAGAACGCTGGCATCCATACCGATCGTCCTTGCAAACATCATGATTACGAGACCGAACATAACTTGGGGGACGCAACGCGTCTCAAAGCAATAGATAGTCTCAAAGCGCATGGCATCGCAACATTACGTCTGCTATCGAAGAAGAGCGAACGAAAAAGAAACGAAACAAGAAGATACATTGTTCCTAATGGTAATGTATATTGCTATTAACATTGCTCGTTAACGCACAATCGCTTAGGTGCACATTATGTATCGTGAATAATATAAAGTATAATCGTACATGGCGATCGCGAGTCACACGCGATAAATTAAAAGGTTCGACGAAGAAATTTTCTCTTTGCTCTACAACCTTCGCGGCCGCGAGTTGTTCTCGGGACCTGACAACATAACCACTATATATTTATATAAAATATCTCGTCACAGCTACACTGACAAAGAGATATTTGGACATTCGTGTTTGTGAGATTTTTTCCTCTTCACGTGAAATGAATTTTATTCTGCAGAGATAAACTTGATTCGGACAAAAGCAGACTTTATATATCCCACGAACAGATTTTCAAATATTTCTTCTCAGTGCAGGGACCACATCATTGTGATATTGAAATATTACAACACTGGGAACTAATCGCGAAACATGATTTCCTCAGGTTTGCTCGAGAAGCCGATCAGTCTGCAGTGGCTGGCAACGGCATTCTATTTACGTTCCATTTAAGAAGCTCACGGTCTCCACGAGTCGCGTCGTTTCAAGCAACAAAAAACGACGCGTCGTGGCGAAACGTACTGGCAGCGCAGCAAAGAAGGCAGTTTAACGCTGCTAATCGACCTAAAGTGAACACGACGTATGCCCCTTTATCTATGATTCACGTCAGCCTAAAGTTATTACGGTTGACAACCGTCGGAATGAAGATCTTGCAAAGTATGACGTTTTACGAACATACGATGGATCTCGGATTCAAACCTTCTTCCTTGGCTGCGACAAATCTCACATGGATCGGCCGACGCTGATAAGGCAAGTAACTATGGCCCCTTTCAGTTTTGTTTCGAAATACCAAGCAAATCAAAGGAGAAAATATCAGAACTCGCTTAAGACACGATTGTAACGTTGCTGGAACGTAACGTTGCGCGACTAATATATGTATACTACAATAGACATATTGATATTATAATATTTGATCTCTCTCTTTCTCTCTCGCGCGCGCGAAGCTATACAACATATTAAAATATTCTCGAACGTAACTATGCTTTGCATTCTCTCTAGTGCGACAGATTACAATGGAAATATAGAGAAATTGCCACCGTTCTACGTATTTACATGCTCTTAATAAAAATTCCAGCACCGATAAAGCTTTTAATACCGTCACAGCTCTATACGTTCACTCGCATAGGTTTTATCATATAAACGAACGTCGGTCTCGCGGCAAAAGTCAGCGACTGCGATTCTTCTTTTCGGCTAGTTTGAGGTAGATGGCTTGTGATGATGACGGACTCGTTGTTTGTGAGGAAAAAGAGGTCTGCTTACACTTTAATGCGATTCCTCCTGCGGCTTTCCTTCTCCCTTTTCCCTTCGTTGCAAAATCGGATTGCAGTTGAACGTTAACAGAATTGTCAGTAAAGGCCAATGAAGCTTGTCGAAAGAGTCTTTCTCTCCAAATCTTCGCGACGTCAGTCAGTGACTTTTTACTCTTAAGACCGACGGTGTAACCGATATAATATCTACACAGAACGTCGAAGATCACTTTCTCCTGTATGATACTTTTCTTAAGTAATATCACGCTGAAAACTTTCGAGACTTTATGCGTCACGATCGATTCTTGATTTCTCTGTTCGCGTTCTCATACTACATAATCGTGTTAGGAAATGATGTATAAAACAATAAATAGGCACTCGTGTTCTGAGATTTCACTTGACTTGGTGACACTTCGGTGACAGTCTGATCATCGTACTTATACCATCTGCAAATACATATATACCAGTGATTACGATTATAATTATCAATCTGTCCAGTTGTATAGATACATAAGGACTGAGTCTCCAGAAAAGATGTGTAAAAGATCACATCCAAAATAAAAGTTTGCAAGATGCACACAAGATCCGTCGTCCTGTCGAGTTCCCTTTATTAATTTTATTTTAGTTATTCTTAATCCGTGAGGAACTCAGACAAGTCGTTCTTGTGTGCAAATACAAATACGTACTTATTTTGAGTGGCGTTTTTGCAAAAGGCCGTATAGTGACCGCCGTCCATCGTCCCATAGTGATTGGACATCGCGTACAGGGTGTAATTGTAATTGCGAATGTTGTTCGACATCGCCGTCGGGTTCTCAAACACGAGGTACGGCTTCAGATTGAATCCAACGAGGGGAAAGTCGACGGCGGTGTTTCGCTTCTCCAGCCATCCGCCGCTCTCGGCGAAACGATTCAAATGAATCACGACGATGGGAGCGAGTTTGACGAAGTCAAACTTCTTCGTCGCGTCGCGAGGCGTCTGGCACTTGGGACATTTCCATCCGATCACCTTTTGCCCCGTGACGAACTTTTCCATACAGTCCTGATAGAGCAAAGCAAAACACTTTCACACGAGGGACATAATCGGGGAGCAAGCGTGTCTCTATGTTTAGTAAGTAAATTATTTCATTATTTACATCGTGCTGCATATACATGCAAGAATCTTAAAATCCTGACAAGTATTTTCATGTAAATCTCTCTTTCATCATACACGTTTCTCTCATGAAATGTACTCACATTCAAGGTACACCGATTGGAGTGAGACAAGGACATCGTTAGACTGTTAAATGTCTCGTACGTGGTGCTCGCTTGCTTGCAAAATGAACATGTAATAGTGGACCTCAACTGGCCGAAAAATAAGTCTGATATTATGGATTTTTGAGAATTCATCGCCTTGTCCCATTCTTTCTCCGCGTTGGTCATCTCGATTGGCATTTTCGATTCCTACGAGCAAAAAAGGTAAGCTCTAATCTCTCCGTAACTAATACTGTTTGCGTTTTTTTCGGTGGAAACCTCTCACCTTCTTGAGATCATTATGCATCCAGTCCAAAAGGAATGTAAGAAATTCGTGAGAATCTTGTTGCTCATAGCTCTCGAATTGTAATTTATACTGACCGACCGCGACCTGATAACGAGAATCAAATGAAGAAGAGAAAAACAACGAACAGTTAGATCTTTCTGTTACTACTCAAAATTAGCCGAAACTAAAGTGAGGAAGAGGACTTAGAGCGAGAGCTGAAGAATACCTTGAGATCGTGAGGAGATATACTTTTGTATTGGCCTCTCCAAAGCGCTTTGATTACTTGAGCCACTTCCTCCACGACTTGGCCCTGCGTCATGTTATCGTTACTCGTGTTGAGATCGTCCGCATACGAGTTGTCAGTGAAGTATTTCGCTAAGTGCGTCGTGTTACTCAGGCACTGAATGATGCTGTTCATGTAACAAGAATTTCCCAAGTTCTTCAGGCCGGTTATACCCGGATGCTGCAAGTAACAAGGAGGCCAGGCTTTACGTTGATGACACACAATTCGTCTAATCGCGCACGATTGCGACTGTAATGCGGATACGCACCCTTCGCGTTATAGCAAGAGACAATACGTTAATGAGAAGTCTCCGTTGAAAGATACGCCTAAATTTTACCGCTCGTCTCGTATACATAGTACTCCATCTTAATCTCGAGTGCCTGTCCCAAGCAGTGTTTAAAACCAAAACTCGCCGGGACAAACTTTCGCGAATGTCTCGTCACGAGTGTGACATTCACGCACGAGGGGAACCGCACTTTGCGCGCGCCTTTGTATTGCGACGCGCGATCGTAGAGATTCAAACGCAGAATCTCCGTACACGACGGGGAAATGACTGCGCGCCAATAGTCGATCCTCTCCTAGAGAGCGAAATTCGCAGTCGTGGAACTGCGCGATCTACTTTCCGCGTAACGTAATTAAGAGCGAGGGGAATTATCGATCTATTTACATCAACACGCGACGGTCAATCAAACCTTAGAACGTACGTATTTGCTTCGACGTATGTCTATAAAGACCAGTCTTTCATTTACCGTTCAGTCGCCTTGCCGACACAATGCATCTGCTGTTCAAGCAGCCGCGGAATTTCGCGAGTTTGGTATTCAGTAGACTGTTAATTTCACGCGATGAAAAAGATAATTCTAACACAAATGTGAGAGAATTCTCCCGAGCAGGACAATCTGTGGGAGAAGCAGACCGCAAAATATATCCAAACGCGATCGTACAATTTCTTTTTATCGCGATTGTCAATCACTGAAACGTTAACGTTAAATTAAAATACGTGATGCATAACGCATTTCTCTCTTCTTTGTTGGTTTCGTACTATCGCCAGCTTAGTGTTCACACGTTCTTAGAAAAATATGATCTATAATCCCACCTTTTTAAAATAATTAAACAATTGCAGAGGAGTAAATTTCCTTTGAAGATTCACCATGGTTTCGTATTTCCTACCGAGAGATTATTTTATCACGAAATAACAAGCACTGTACCCGTACACATGCTTGACCGTATTATCGTATATCAGCTTGCAACCGAACATTCTATCGTCACAAATATTAATATCGATAAGCGAGAGTTAAGCACTGTGTAACAAATATCGCATTGATAGATGTAACAAATGTAATACTATTCCAGGCCAATCGTCTTGTCCTTTTCTTTCAGGTTAAGAATTAATGTCTTCTTCTCTTTAATCCAACTGTTTCTTTGTAGCGTAGAATAAAAATAACAATTTTTTTTTCTTTTCGACAGACAACACCCCCGACGTTTCCAAACGATTTGGGATCCGGTAAACGTGCGCACATCAAATGTTGCACGAACACTGATCGTGGAAGTAATCGGTAATAGAAGTTCACCTGCCGATTGGATTGAGAAACCCTACACGTGTTAAGTCGCACTGCGCGCTTTACACGTTCTACGTGCGCACATTACCCCTATATGATATCGCACGTGACACTGGAACGCGTGCACCACGAATGACAAAATTTCGTCGTTCCTTCGGAACTTTATGCGAAAATCATTAGACACGTGTCGACTAGCCGACACGCGTCTACCCTTGCAACGAATGGTATGTGGCGACACCATTACACTCACCTGATCTTCCCAAATTACTGGAATTATTTAAAAATTTTTGGTCATGCCTCTCAAGTAAAAGTCTATATAATAACTGCACTGATCAATACTTTCTCGATATACTCTACGAGATAAAAATAAAAAAAAAAAAGGAGAAAATAGAAGGAAGAAAGAGAGAAATAATTAACTTCAGCATTCCAGAAATAAAAGAACGAAATCAGAAGGAATAGAAGTAGAGTTATGTGTTCCCTTACAACTATATCCACGTACTCGAGACACTGCGCCTATGGTAAATAGTACTTTACATAGTATCCCCCTCATTGTTAGATTACTGCACTATGGTCATGCCGATATTAAACTTGCAGTTCGACTTCATTCACACGCGATTATAATGCCAAGCGTTATATGAAATGGAAGATCGAGAACCCGACACCGTGATTAGTCTAGATTGATGATTTTTCGAAAGACGGACGCTCGTCCCTCCGATGCTCGCGACAGTGAAAGCGAAAGCTGCGATCATTTTTGCAAGGCCGCGATCGACCTCGCCGGTAAAGCGCCCGCGCACAATCTTGTCCGAATTAAGTACTTACAACACTGCCGTGAATAGGAGTCATTCGTTCCTCCCGATTTCCCCAACTAAGAGACACTTTGACGTTTTCATTTCCAATAGATCCATTTTGATTGCGAGGTGATATATGCGGCTTAGAAGTTCTATCTACCTGAGGTGCTTTACGATCCCCCAACTAATGGAATTACGCAGAAACGTTCGTGGGTAATTATGCGTTTGTCATTGTAAATAGATTGAACAAAAGAAAACTGGACTGATTAGCGAAAGTAACCGTGGGATTGTCCGTACCTGAAGTAAATTCGGGCTCGAGTAAGAACGCTCCAGTCCGGTGTTTATGGACGTGCCGTCTGTTTTCAAAGGCTCCTTGTAAACGTCACTGTCGTTTTGCCTCATCGTTATCTCCCTGTGCTCTCTTTCCAAGTCTCTGCAATGACACGGCGTGTAACACGACGTTGTAATTTCAATGGATGAGTAGATTAAGAAGCGCGCGTCGATATATCTGCGGATACGTACTCTTGCAACTTCTTTCGCTTAACCTCGTTTTTCTTGAGTTCCGTTTTCATTATGCACAGATTAAGATCGAGGTTTTTCTTCTCACGGTCATCAGTGACGTTAAACTTAATTCCATCTTCTTTCTTGCAGTAGTCGTTAAGCTCGTTCTCGACCTTGAGGTACATCTTGTGCTACAATACACACGGAATTAACGCAAGCTGACTTGAGACATAGACTGAGGAACCGATATTCGAACAAACGATTTACCATGTCATCTAATTTGACTTTCAGGGACTTTATTTCCCCGTGCAGATACATCTCATCACTGGCGTCTCTGTGCTTGTCTTCGCGCTGCGCGTACAACTGGCACTCCTGGTCGAAGAGCTCGTCCGCCAGCTTCATCTTCGACTTGGCCAGTTCGTTTAGTTCCTTCATGAACCGCAGCACATTCTTACATCGCGGATCATACGCCGGCTTCAGGGTGACTGGTTTGTTGCTGCGATCAATCATCGGTTTTACGCTCACTTCGTTTTGCGGCAGCTTGTTAGATGTTGGCTTATGTTGAGGTACCGCATCCGGACTAGTGAGTCGTTGCGCGTTCGTCTCATTGTCGCCTCGAGATGACCGTTTGCCGTCGATTGATATCGTAACATGACTAGTGAAGTTCTTAGGCTTAACCGAAGAGACGGCGTCGTTGCTGTTCGATCTGGCGTGTTTGGATGCCGACTTGTTATCGCCGTGAGCCATCTCTACGTCTGTGTTCTTGTTGAAGGTTTTCGCGTTATTTAATTTGCTTCGTGCTTTTTTAAGGAACTCATCTTCCTCGTCCTCATTCAGCCAATCGGGATACTCGATTGTGCCCAGAATCTCATTTGCAACGCTGTCCAATTCTGGCACTATCACATTGGGATTTGTCACGAACGCCGGATACCTCGCTAACCATTCCTGATATCCTCCATTGAGAATCTTAATTTTCTTGTACCTCATACCAGGATCCCATTTTTCTAAAATGTCTCTGAATATACTTAACCTATTGCCAGACGTCAGAGATTCTTGTGTAGTATTCCAATCCAATAAGACCACAACATCCACATACTGGGCAGATCGATGATTGAATAATTCGTATGAATGCTTATCTTTACTGCGAAGATACTTTGAGAAATAAGTGGCCAGTTTTCTGAAAGTGAATGCATTATGAAGAATTCCACACAGATTTTGAGGAAACTTCTAACAATCCACAATCATAAAATTATAATCAAAAACTGCATAAGATCGTTCACTTACCCATGTTGAATTTCTGATTGTGGAATGTTGATACATTTATCAGATAATAGTTTAGAGCATTCAAAATAATCATTTTGTCTAATATCAATGACCAAGTATCTGTCCTCTACTTTGAGTAACGAATATAACTGATCACATGATATAAATTTGTCACTATCACCATATAAAGGATCATCAGTTGGGGTTTCTGGTAATTTTAAGGTAATATCTGTACTTGGCGTATAGGCCTCTGTGGCTGCCACACCATCTGTCTCTACTTCCATTTGCTCTACCATATCTTTACGAGATGATTTCTTGGAACGTTCATAGCGTAGCTGTAATTTCTCCTTCAAGTCTGCAATTATGTTTTTTGCTTCATTCATCTAGAATGTATAAACATTAATATATTTTACTGTTTACAGAGCACAAAAGTTTGATTCAACTGATCAATGTAGTAATACTTTGTACCTGATCAATAGTTATATTTGTGGAGATAAGTTTGCCATCTTTATCCTTGTGCTTCTTCAGCCACTCAACTGTATCCAACCATCTCTTCAACATAATATATGCAGTCTCATCGTCTCCGTCTTTCTTGGCAGTATCAAATTTTTGTCGCATACCAGGTAGCCTCATGTATACATCACGTGGCTCCTTTTTCATCAAGTCAACTTTAGCCCTTTGTATGAGATCGTTTACACAGGTATATTTTAAATTTGCTGTATTAGACATGTTGGTTGCTTTCAGTGGCCTAATCCTCACTGCAAAACTGAAATGTTCAGGCAACAAAACACAGGCCAACGTTGTGACGTGCTATAATTCAAAAAGTAAATGTTAATCGTTTAATCCACTTAGAAACACATATGTGTCTTATTCGTGGAAGCACTAACAAACCTAGAGAAGATAGCCGAGCAGTTTACGTGTCTCCTTAGCCACCGTTCATCATCGTCATGTTATCGAAACGATCGCGACCCGTCGTCGTTTCAGGATGTCTAATTACAAGGAGTAGATTCGTCCCTGCGTAGATTTACAGCTCCGATAAACGTACCCACACAGAACTCATTCGCAGTTTCAGATATTTCCATGAATTGTAGATGTCAGTCGACCCGAGGTTAACTCGTCCGACTGCGGATGACATACAACGATCCTCCTTTCAATACTTTACCGGACACACTGTTATCAGTGTCTCCAGACGAACCGGGTTTACCGCACTTCCGCGTCAAGCGTAATCTCAATGTGACGCTTTAAGAATAAAAAAAAGTCTCCTGGTTCGCCGTCGAAAAAATTCATGTTACTTGAAAATAAAAGGTCTGCCTGACTTATCGTCGAATCGTACTACGAACTCCATTTGTCGGTGACGCCTCGTAGCGGTGACTTCGGAACTACGCCTGAGAAAAATGGCCGATCGGTTGCTGATAATCGCTGAGTGATTACACATCGCCTGTCTCTGATTCATGGCGATAACGACGATAATTTTCGGAGCACTCGTTAAAATAACATTTGTCTAGAGAGACACGGTCTTCGCAGAAGCAGACAGACACTTCGTTGGCGTGGAATATCCGCAAGTGATACTTCATGTGCGCGTGTCTTTTCGTGAGGACATCATTATCGAGTGACAACTGACAGGATGGATGTTCTGAACAAACTACGAAACACAGTCAGCAATACCATTAGTAATACGGTTCAAAACACAGCGTATGGTCTGTCGCAGTTGTCCAGCGTTTTACCTGGCAATCCTGTGACCAGAGAATTCGAAGCGACCGCTCATGTGGCAAGTGCCGGCCCAGGATTACTATGGAAAGTCTACAGCGGTTACAAGAAGTCTACCAAGCAGGAGGCTGCGATTTTCGTTTTCGAAAAACGCATGCTGGACAGGTGGTCTGCCAAAACCGACCGCGAACTCGTATTGGAAACCCTGAAGCGTGGTGTGACGCAGTTGACGAAACTGAGGCACCCACAGGTTTTGATAGTGCAACATCCACTCGAGGAATCAAGAGACAGTCTTGCATTTGCGACTGAACCAGTATTTGCTAGTCTGGCTAATGTATTAGGTAAGCAAATCCCTCTCCAAACTTGGTTAACTTGGTATTATAAGTTAACTGTATATCTATTATTACTGAAACTAGATTGAATCTAATTATAATCTGTACTCTGTCGATATCTTTTGAGTAATACTTATATGAAATATATTAGGTAATTATGAGAATATACCTCAACCAACACCAACAAACTTGAGAGATTATAAGCTACACGATATAGAAATACGCTATGGATTGTTGCAATTAGGAGAAGGTCTGGCATTTTTGCACGGTGATGTCAAACTGTTACATAGAAATTTGTGTCCAGAATCAATAGTTATTAATATTCATGGAGCATGGAAAATATTTGGCTTTGACTTCTGTGCCTTAAATCAAAGTTCAGATAGTAAACAGGTATGTGAAGACTATTAACTAAAGCACTTATCTTCTAGTTATGTCAACAAATTTTAATGACTGAAAATCAGTTGCCTATATATTTAATATATTAATATATTTATATAAAGGGAGTTATTCTATTCTTATAAAAGATTCTATAATTCATTTAATTATCTTATATATTGATTACGAGAGTTGCTATTTATGTATCCGGAATAGCAAACAAAAACAAATATTTATCATTTAAAATACATTTATTGTTTTTCAAAATATTCTCCGCGGTGATCGATACACTTTTGCATACGTTTGAACCAATTTTCATAGCACTTTTTCCATTCCGATTGAGGTATCTCCAAAACATGCATTTTGAACGCATCAGCCGCTTCTTCTGACGTCGAAAATCGTTGACCATATAGTTTATTCTTCGCGTACGGAAACAAAAAGAAATCATTGGGTGCCAAATCCGGACTGTACAGTGGATGACCCATCAATTCGATGGTTTGACCGGTCAAATATTGAGTTGTTTGGGCTGATGTGTGAGAGCTCGCATTGTCATGGTGAAGAATGATCCTGCGTCGCTGGTTGTTTTTTCTTTTTTTACCAATGATTTCTGGTAAACAAATGGTTGTGTACCATTCAGAATTAACCGTTCTACGATCCTCTAGTGACACTGTAGCCACATATCCATTTATCCCAAAAAAACAGACAACCATTTGCTTTGAAGTGCTTCTTGCGCGAACAACTTTTGTTGGGTTTGGCTCATCTTGGAAGACCCATATAGTCGACTGCTGTTTACTTTCGGGCTCATATGCATAGATCAAAGATTCGTCACCTGTGTAGATGTTATACACAGCTTTTGACGCACCACGATTGTATTTTTTGAGCATTTCTTTGCACCAATCGACACGAGCCTGTTTTTGAGCGATTGTCAAATTATGCGGAATCCAACAGGAACAAATTTTTTTTACGGCTAAATGTTCATGTAAAATCTTGTGTATGCTTGTCATACTAATGTCCAGGGATGCCTCAATCTCACGGTATGTCACATGACGATCTTGCATTATCAGTTCGCGCACAGCATCGATTGTTTCTGGCACAACCACCGATTTTGGACGACCTTATTTAAATTCGTCCGTGAGCGAACGACGGCCACGATTGAATTAACTAAATCAGTGATATACAATGGTTTTAGATGGTGCTTCATCGCCAAACGTCGAAATGAGTTGATTGATGCACTGTTGTTGAGATAATCCACGTCGAAAATCGTAAAAAATCATCGCATGAAAATATTCTCGAGTTAATTCCATTTTTTTACTGAGATGAAATTTTCAAGTCACTGTAAACAACACAAATAGCGTCCGTACGACTAAACGTCAAAAATGTCAAACTTTACGATGGAAAAGTTAGATGGCGCCATAACAGTGTTGCCAATTCCGGATATATAAATAGCAACCCTCGTATATATTAATTATTACATTTTACATTTATATAAGTTATATTTGCTTGTTTGCAGCCATCATGGTCATATTTGGAATATGATCCAACACTTCCACCTGTTGTCCAACCTCACCTGAATTACCAGGCACCTGAGTGCATATTAGCAAGCAGTAATGGGCCACCGAGTGATATTTTTGCTCTAGGCATACTGATATATGTAATACACTCTTCAGAACATCAGACACTTTACGAATCTCACAGTGACCTAGGAAAATGCCGACGTTTTCTTGAAAGTCTCAAGAGATCCAATATCTCAGCAAAGCTGCTTTCAATTCCTGAAACTCTCAGGGATACTGTAAAGCTTATGTTGAATCATAGTCCAGAACTTAGATTAGACGCCCATCAATTCATAAAGGTACTTGAAAAAGAAGATATTGTACACATAAACAGAAATATTTAGTTGTAATTAGCATAGCTGCATCACCTTAGTTATCTTTATGTGATGATAATGATTGTGATAATAGATGATAATGTATATGGTTGATATGACTCATTTACTTTGATATATTAACTATATCAAAGTAATTGCATGTAGATTCCAATAATACTTATTCCATGAGATCTATCAAACTTTTCAATGTTAATTAATCAAGTGAAGGAAAAGAGTATTCGATTATATCTAATGCAATTTCTATGATATTGTATTGTTGTAGATCGAATATTTCACAGATATTGGCGTTAAGACGTTGAATTACTTGGACAAGTTATTCCAGTGGGATAATCTCCAAAAGTCGCAATTTTACAAAGGACTCCCGCAGCTCTTGAAACAGTTGCCACACAGAGTCGTGCTACACAGAGTATTACCCGCGCTTTACAAAGAGTTGGTTAATCCACCTATGATACCATTCGTACTGCCGAGTATATTGCAGGTGATGGAAATTACCGAAGTGGAGGAGTTTCGAGAGCATATCCTTCCCAACTTAAAACCTGTTCTTGCTTTGGAAGATCCGCCACAAGTAAGTACGTGTTATTTATGGAGCTTCAGTAAAGTAATGAAATATGTGTAATCTTTTATTATTCCACACACATACACGTATATATTTTTATAAAGTAAAATCAAAGTAACAGAAGAATGTACGTCAATTCTTTCCACAGATCAGCTTAGTTCTCATGCAGCAAGTTAATCTACTGCTCAAATTATGTCCTACGGACGTCATTAAGACCGACATAGTGCCTATGTTGCTGCGTGCATTGGAATCCGAATGGGAGCAACTCCAGGACCTTTGCCTATCAGCGTTACCAAATATAGTGACAATGATCGAGGGGCCAGTGATAAAAAACGCTATACTGCCGCGAATGAAGAAGATATGTTTGTCACCGGGGAAGAAGTCAAGTAGTCTCGGGGTCCGCGTTAACTGCTTGCTGTGCCTTGCGAAGATGTTGCCGAATTTCGATCGCTGGCTGGTGTTTGATCAGATATTACCATTTCTGCAGGAAGTTCCGCATTCTGGCGAGCCAGCCATTTTAATGGCCATTATAGGTAATACAATTTTACCCTGCATGCAAATAAATCTACTGTAAAATATGTCTTTATTTCATTCTGGATATTGATAGAGTAATCTTTGCATTGCTAGGTATTTACAGGATGCTACTCACTCACAGCAAGTTGGGTATGGGTAAAGAAATATTGGCGACGAAAGTATTACCATTCCTGTTACCTCTCTGCATAGAGCAAAATCTCAGTATGTCCCAGTATGAAACGCTTTCGACTCTGGTGGTCGATATGATAAATCGAGTGACTAGCGAGCATCGAGATGCATTGCGGCAATTGGACGCGGTGCGTCGCGAGACGCAGCAATTTGATCAGGCGCTCTCTCAAGCGGCGTCGCCTACTTTTATGCAAAACAACAGTCTGAGTGACATTAATTTAACACCGGAGATGCCGCCCGCGAACGCTAATCTTAAAACTGTAAATATCGAGAATGGACTAACCATGGAGGATAAGTTCAGGTTTGTCTTTGCAGGCTTTTTGAAACTTTAGTCCACTCGTCGTGATCTTCGGTATACCAATAACGAGTTATTTCGTATCAGGTTAATTCAACAGCAGGAAGCTCATCAGAGGTTGCAGTCTCAACCCATATTGACCCCCAAAGCTGTATCGCAGCCTACCAAACTGCAGCCAAAAGATCTGACGGCGACTTTGCTGAAGAACAATCTGGACGAGTTGAACTTGTCCATGTCGAAGTCGACTATGTCGCAGTCTGATTACTCAGGCAAGAACACCGCGAGCCTGTCTTGGAATAAAAATAACAATATCAATCAGACGCAGCCGCAATTCATGACGTCCCCGATGTTGAGTTCGCAAACGATGCAGGCGAGTAGACCGATGAATTGGAACTCTAACGGAATTAACACACCGATGAATTGGAACTCTGACCAGTCTGCGTCAATGTGGAATCCAGTCGCTCCGCAGAACAATACTATGTATTCGCAGTGGGAGGGACAGGCGAAATTCGCAACGCAACCGGAGATCAGGCCCAACTTAAATTTCCCCGGCACAATGCAACCTTTCATGTCGCCGACCAATACACAAACCGCAAACAAGCCGAACTCATCCACGCAAGATATCATGGATTTGCTCAGTTAATTCACTTGACGCGATTCTGGCTGTGGTTTCGTTAAAAATGAAAGTCAAGTCAGTACATATTAAGTCGCGAAAAGACAAATCGTCTTTTATATCAACACCAGCAATCAAGGATTGCAGTATTACACACATCAGGTTAAGAACATTTTTAACGTATATTCAATATAGAGGCTGTTTCGCGCAAAGTAAGTCAATCGCAATTCTTGGGAAAGCCCTGTCGGGAAAAGCGCGGATATTTAGAGTGAAGTTAATATATCAAGCATTACAATTAATTTCTTTTTTTTTTTATTTAAAATTTGAGATGCTCGATCAGACTTTATGCGATACAGTCTTGTATAATACACGATCGACGTTCGGATGTTTGTTTTTCCTACGATAATTTCTTATCACGCGATAACGTCGTTGATAAAAGTCCGTATGTGTTGTAAGTCGTAAATCTCCCCCGACCGTCAGTCTGCCGCAAACTTGACGTTTGCGTCGACGTTTTAATATTTCATGTGAGCCCTATTAATATAGATATATTTGTACAATCACGTTCGGAGCGTATCTTGCAGGTGACATTAATTCCTGAATGCGCGAATGAACAAGTACGATGTGGCATGTAAGTTACTACGAACGAGGGACAGTAATAAGCACGAATGTATGATAAAAAAAAATGGCAGTCACCGTTTTTTATACGGAAACGCGTAGTGTTTTCATCGTGATTCAACTCGCCATAATCTCTCACGCTTCGATGTACATATGTAGCTTGGTCGCGGGACAAAGGGCTAACTTTTACGTAAGAGCTCTAAAATATATAATATGTACAAGCATATATTGCTCATTCCAACGAACCAGAGATCCACGGATCGTTGGTTCCATTCCGTAATTTGCAATTTGTAACGACGCTCGTGCGTATGTAGCAATCCGTACACCGAAAGAATTTTATAGTAAAAATCACTATAGGATTTTCTGTAACCGAAGAATAGATTGACATTCAACAATAATTCATTATCCTGTCATTTCATATGTGCCATTTATATTTTAAGAACCGAAATGTGTTATTAAAACACTTGTTATGTTTCTAGCAAAATTTAGTATGCTAAAATTTACTATGCTATGGTAAAATTAGAAAGAATTTATATGAAAAGAAAAACTATGATATATTTTCCCTATGTATATCAATTTTATTGATGCAAATATTGCCCGGCATCCACTTCATCACTTTAACACGTAAAAATAGCTTGCATTTCAATAATAATACAATGATAATATACTCGTATATTATCATGAAATGATCAAGCACGCGCTTATGTTGCGAGTGGACGAGACAATGCACATTAGTTTTATTCGAAATCGCACGGAGGAACATCGCGTCTCCGGATTTTATCGCAAATGTTTCGTTATTCTGTGTGCGTGATTGTCACATACGAGCGAGTGAGCTCGATTCAATCGCGCGACTCGATGAAATTGTAAAAAAGAAGGTATAGATATATAATGTTATTTCTATTTTATCTTTTGCGCGTGTTCTCTAATATTATCCCGAGGATCTATTTCTTTATTTATTTTGCTGTTGTGCACGATTGTTAACGGTCACTGTCCGAGTCTAATAAATCTGCTGAAAATGTTTATTCATTTTCCGATCCAAGCTTTTCCATCGCTTCTCTATCCGTTATTAACAATCGTACGCAAAATATCTCTGCGACTAAAACTCCGTCGCATTAGTTTTATAATAAGAAGAGATCGTTCTTATCATATCTAATTAACAATTAATAATCTTATATTCCTGTACTTTTATGTCAAAAAAAGGAGAAAAGGAGAGAGAAGTTTCTAGTTGTAAATATTAACGTTGCTTAAAGTTTCCGAGGTTTTTTCCTTGACTAATATTTCTCGTTCAACTTATCTCCTTCTCCTAAGTCACTCTCTCTCTCTCTTCTTTTATTTGCGTGCAACTCATTCCCCGCAATTGACTACAAGCGTGCCGCGGGAAGCACGGATCTACAACCGAAAAAAAGGGTCCGTGTTGAGAAAGGGGTATTCGCCCCGCTGTAGTTGTTGTTCGTTATAAAGACCACCAATTCCTTTGTTCTCGGAACAGCGCGCAATTAGGTTTCGCAGACGCCGATGGCCGTGCGTGCAGCGGCGGAGAAGTGCTGCAAGTATCGATTATTCAAGCTGTACTATCGTCGCCGCTGAGGCGCAAGAAGAAGCGAAGAGAAAATGCCGTCGCGCGAGCGAATGGACAATAAATATCGAAAAGGAAAGAAAGAAAAGAAAGAATCCCCAACGCGTGTGTGGAAGCGAAGAAAAATGGATCTGTGGACGAAACGAGGGCTCAGCTCCCGTTAATTGGCTGAGTACGCCTTCAGAGCAACCCTCCGTTCTCTTTGGATATGCAGCACCGCGAAGGGCTGTGCGGAGAAGTGGCGAGCACCCCGGGAAGTTAAGCACTCAGAGCCCCGCTTGTTTGAGGACGCATTACTCGCGATAATTATCGCCTGGTTCTGCTTTATCTGACAATCTGTCGGAGGATCGAAAAAACACGGAGCATTGGATGAGATATTTCTTCTTATGGTAAATTCCTTCAATTCTCCATATGTGTATAATAACAAAATGATCAAGAATAAATTAGCATTCTCACGGTAGCAAGTTCGTGAAAATGTAGTTGCCGATTCCTCGCCACTTATTTCTAATTTCTTTCAGATTTAGAGAGAAAGAGAGAGAAAAAAGAGATAGACATTCGAAGTCTGGCTGTTGAGGGACAGAAGGCCAGATATCCCGTACGAATATCCTACGTAAACACATAATCCTCTCTCCCTATTGCTTCCGAAGCGCGAAATCACATCGGCTGTTCTCGTGCGAAGTTACTGGCATCTTCCTCCCTTCGGAAGCGCTATTACTGGCACCCCCGACCTCACTCCTCCATCGTCTCTCCATCGCCGTTCCTTCGGAGGTCCCACGAGGCGAGATCGAATCACCCTCGCCGGCAAATTGTCCCCGTCTTCCTGGCACCGAAAACACGCAACGGCGCCGTATAGATCGGGCATTCATTCATAGAAGCCAACCTTCTGTCATAATGCCCGCCCCCAAAGCGCACCCCGATAGACGATCGGGGTGCGGGCGGCAGTACGACCCCGACAGGGTGAGAGGGGTGGCCGGCAACCCCGGCTTTAGTCGCGATGTGCGCGTCGTCCCGACGCAGTTGCTGTCCGTTTCGCGTTTCCTCGCCGGCAAGCAAGATCTCGCAAAGCGTAGCGTGTCACGAGACGAGATCTTGTGATTTTTTCGGAAACTTTGAAACAACTTGAAAGCAAATAGCGCGAGTGATATCCGAGCGATACGTCGCTTGAGAAGTTACAAAGGCAGACGAATCGTTGGATTTCATTTGCGAACTCGATGACCTAATCACTGCAGTGTCATCAATATATTATCAGCGTCGCGAAGTCGTTGACAGTCCTCGATGAACTCGGCCAAGGAAGACGAGTGCTCGCTTTCCTCCACGTTAATCCGAGACATCACACTGTTATGAACTTGTTTGCGAAGATTGAGTGCAGAGTTACAAAGACATTGTTGAGTGAAGTTAAGAACTGAAAAAAAGAGAAAACTCTCATTACTTATTTACAAAGAACAGAGAGAAGAAAAGAGGAAGAACAAATAAGAGTAAAAACAATTCAGTTTAGTCAGCTTCCCGGGCTGCAGCTTGCTATAAGCGTCGTCGACGTCCCTTCTGCGACGGCGGGAGGATAATTTCGGCGTCCGTGGAGGGTTGACGGGGGGGCAACCCTCGGCGCGGGGATGTGCGCGAGGGTGTTTGTACGGTGTGGATAGGCGAGCCGGCAATTTCGCGTGCGGCCGGGCTGCTCTCGATATCGATTCCAGAAGGTCGCCCCCGAAGTAGTCGCGCACCCTAGTCGTTCTTCCGACGTCTCGCGGTCGGCAAAACGACTGATTGTTGACATCGCCGTCGTCGCCGCCGTCGTAGCCAGCGCGGCTGATGCGCGTAAGATCGATGAGAAACGAGATCGATCAGCTTAGAGAAGTGTGCTCAACGGTTCTTCCTTCTGCGACTGATCTGCGAGGACTAGTCGTGCCAGGGAAGATGCGGATCGTGTCGGGATAGAGCCACCACGTAAGCGAGGTACGTTGGAAATCTACGTAAAAAGATATCTAATTTTTAGCATCAACGATTTAACACTTAATTTATTAAAAAAGAAAAGGATTTAAAAGTGACTTTCTTTCTCTATTTGATACTAAAAGAACATCCTTATCATTTGTGTGCCCAAACAAAAAGGAGATTACGTGTAATTATTTTAAATTTTATATAAATTATATCGAATTTTTCTTATATATGATTTTTTCATATATGAATTTCGTCTCTATATGGCTACATAATGCTGTTGTGAATAAAAAAGAAAAATTAATTTCATTTAATTAATAAACTAAAATTATGAACTACGATAAATATAAGCAATTATTGTGCAACAATTGTTGTGCAGTGATTGTATTTATGCAATTTCCCATATATAATTACATATATTGATCACATAAAGACAAAAGTCATACATAATTATATATAATCATTTTTTCTTGAATATAATTTGTATTTAACATACTTGGGGCGCTTCATTTAAACATCTTTTGCCTTCTTATGTTGTCTTCAAAAGTTAGCTTGATAAAGATTGATAGTAGCCAATAAATCTTTGCTCAAGTGAGCGTTGCTCGAGTCGCTCATTTCGCGCGTGTTTCGCAATTTGAGTTTTTTCGAGACACTCAGCATGAGCTTGTCGTCGTCGCGTTTCTAACAGAGGGGTGATTCTTATCTTCGCGACATATCGATGTTAATCACCACTACGCGTGCCCCCGCCGATAAGAAACGCATGTCCCACGCGCGCGGTCGTTATTCTCTGTCTCGCATGCATGGTACATCGAACTCATTATTCCAATTGCATAATCGATCCGAATACGACTTTCCGACGCCATACCGACACGTGGGGTGCGTGCACTGGCCATCATCTGTCATCTTCACCGTCAGTCATTCGAAGTACTCGACGCGAGACAAACTGCACGTTAATAACAACTTTTTATGATGGATTAACCGAGGAAACGAATGCTAATGTTAAGAACATCGTGTATTTTTTGTGTACGATGATTTAATCCCTGCTTTCAGTTTGTATCAAATATCATCCGTAAAAGAAAATCACAAGAGAAATGTTTTTGCGGCGCGACACGCGTGGTTTCGTATATAATTCTTTTGTATTTCTTCAATATTTTAGCCGGAGAGAAGATTCACGCTTAGGTCGTGCACCTCTCGTAAATTGTCAAGGGGACGCAGAGAACGGGAAATCCCGATTTTAACGAGCGCGTTTATGGAAGGGTCCAACGATCAATTTTTGTTTCGCGTTGAAAAGAATCCTCGGGGGGTTCGTGGCATCCCGCGGAGACCAGTCAGGTCTTTCACAGATATGCGCAAATATTTGGTGGACATAGGCGACAATGAGTAACGACTTAGCTTCTCATACTGACCGCGTCCTCAGCGCTGAAAAGAAAGTATCCGATTTGCGAGGTAAGAAGTAACATTATTTGTGATCCTTATGTGAAGTAAAACTAAGTAAATTATTCGAAGAACGCATTTCTAAAATAAAATTTGGAACAGTAAAAGGATAAAAAAATTTGCGTAAATTATATCTGTGCGAAAAAAAAAATATCATCCGCAAGAATACTCAAAGCACGGCAGTCCACGGTGCAAGACGAGAGTACTACTCGTAATTAAAACCTGCGATCTACGGTTGCGTTCGCGGGGGTTGTCGCCGTTAAACGCGCGCGACTCTACATTAGATGCATTATTTATTAGTCTGACAAACGTGTTAGTCTGTTATCCGCGTTATACATTAAGCTTCGCGTGTTCGCTACGTTAAATAAAAAGGAAGAAAAGAGGAAAAAAAGAGGAAAAATAATATAATCATATTCCCTAATGTCGTGGGGGTCGCGCGAACGCACGTACGCGCGTTTTCTGAAACGTTGCACACTAGGGACGCGACCGATCGATACAGACGGAAAGGACGATGCCCGATTTCGATTTCCCTCCGAGAAGCGACGCGGGGTTGGTTTCAGCCGAGGGTGCAACACGTGCAATTATACAGGGCTACAGATTTTCAGAAGCGAAGCGGGAGCGCGAGAGTCGCGCTCACGCCGCCAAACGTGGCTTTGATCGTCGGTCTGGAGCGAAATTATCCCGCCCCTCAGCTCCAGTTTATTTGCATCTGAGAGACCGCTAAGTCGCCAATGCTTAACTCACGCCATCGCTACTATTAACGCGTTGATCATTAGAATTGGATCGCCTTTCTCAGTCAGTCTTGATTCCGCGTCCATCACGAAGCTATCTTCTCCCGTGTGAGAACTCACCTGAAACAGAAAGATCATTAGCTGCATTCAGCAGAGAATGTTACTTTCACATCCATTGTAAGATACGTTCTTAAATTCAACTGACTCTAAGAGCAGCATATATCAATTAGTTTCGCAACCATTGAGATGTCTCAAACACGAGATTGAAACTGTCATTATTAATTATTCAAAGACATCTTAATTTACTAAAAGATGATGTAATAAAAGACAATCTATTAAAAAGTGTCTTAGCTAATCTAAAAGGCGTTTTATTGGACATCTTTTGGACGCCTTTAAGACATATTTTAGTAGTTTGTGTTGTCTGGAATTTTTTCCAACGTTGAGAGAATTAAGAGCATGGTCAAAGAACAATATATCATTTTGCAGAGCACTTAATGCTGCAATTGCATGCATGATGGTTATCGCCAACTGGCTAAAAATATTTCAGAAGCTTTGCAATAACACTCGTTATTCCGACTCACTGTGACGTAATCTAGATTATTCCGTTTTACTTTAGCTTATTGCAACGTAATCTCCTCAGCATGCTCCACTTTATTCCGTGATTTATTCCGTCCGCGGATTAAGCGAGTACGATATCGCTGTAGTAGTTGCAAATGCATAGCAATGACTTTGCATGATCGACCGCGTAACTTGATCGAAATTTTTAATGCACTTTGTTCTTTATCATCCTCAGCATCATAGGGACGCGGAATTCCTGTCCGGGGCACCGAAATATCTCGGTTTGGCCCTGGCAGTCATCGATGAAGAGCTGGACATGAGTTGGACATCCGCACGGTCATCATTGGGATTATTAATTATCCTCCTCCTGAAATGTGGTAATGACGATTAAATTTAAATTTGCGCATATCATATTGCTAGCTCGCACATAGAATGGTAGCCGCGCGATTGGATGTGTGCGGAGTTTATAATAGAATTAATTAACAAAAGTAACCGGCAAATGAAATTAGTGTGACCGCCGTGGCATGACGTAGAGTTTCGCGTTTACCGTGTTTTTATCGCGAACGAATCGATATGTGGGCTTGTTAAATGAGAATGGCCACGATTTCAAAGCGTTTGTTTGTTGGTTTCAGGTATCGCGAGATCGATGATAGACGCAAAGGAGCCGATACTGTTGAAGGTAGTCGCTCCCCCGTCTCATACGGCTTTATCCGGCGACGTGGCCGTTTTGATCCTGGATTCGGCCGAAACGGAATTCTCCACGGTAGCCACGAGCATCGCTGTCACCGTCCCAGACGACACAAGAAAAGATGAGAAGAAGAAAATCGATCCAAAGGAGGGGAAAGTCGCCGTGGCACACGAACCGCTCGTGCTCAGGTATGTTGAAAAAGCCATAAACATGGACACGCACATAGTCTCACGGCACCCCCAAGTGTCTACACGCATCGCCCTTATAACTCTTATAAATTAGCGTTAACGAGCGCTCGAATGGGGTAACGTATTACCACGATCGTAATGAAGTACTTACGATCGCGAGACGCGGAACGAGAAGATTAAAAAAAGCAACAGCATGTGCAAAAATATTCAAACGTCGGGAGGGAAGAAAGTTTTACAAATTACACGAAAACGCGTGAGTGTATCGTTCCCAATAAACATCAACTAATAGTAACATCAATGTTATGATTTCCATTCAACAATATAACTATTACAAAACACTCGCATTATGTTGCACTCACATTGTTGAATAAGAAATTGCAATATTAATGTTAGATTACTGATAGTTGGTGTTTATTGGGTCTCGATTTTTTTAACTGAGCATCGCGCTTCTGTGGCGCGCTTAATTTCAGAGCACTGTACGTCGACGGTCTCACGTCGGAATTGATCGGTGATTTCCCCCTGGATAACCTGCCGCATAGGGGTGAGAATATTTCTGTGATAATACCCTGTGGTGTCTTCTCGCGTGGCGGAGTTTATATCCTACGACTGCAGTACAAGAAGTTCTCAACGGTGGCTGCCAGACACACTGCCATTGCTGGGCTGCCTGAAATTGAGGTGGGCATCATTCCTCCGATATCGAGAGCTTGAATACGTAGAATTATAAAATGAAAAAAAGAAGAAAAGAGTAAACGATACTATTCAATTCTCTTGAATCGAGAGAACTAACTCGAGCGAAACCCGTGCAGATGAGCAGTGCCTTAGACGTAAAGTGGCCAACCCCTTCTCTGCTTCTGGAATCCCAACACTTCGGTACATATCCTAGTCAGCCGATAGTTGCAACCATAAAGTACAATGGAATTTCTTGTGTACCTGCCAACGGCGTTCCAGTAGCGGCTTATATTTTGCAACTCATTTACTGCGGCACCACCGCGGCCGCATGCGATCCACAGAACAACAGTCGCACGCAAGTAAGTGGTAAGATAGACGAAGTGGTTGCGTGGAGAGAGCAATAAGCGCGCGAAAAGTGCACGGAAGGTAGAGCCTCGTTCGCCAAACAATAATTTCACCGAAGCTAATCTCCCCGTGTACGTAATCCCCAATTCCATCAGGTGCTCTACTACGAGGAGGTGAACGGCTTCGCTTCGCCCAAGGTCATCAAGCTGAAGTGCGAATTTTTCGGACTGGCCGGCAATTACGCGCTCAGATTGAAGGCGTCGGACGTCAATCCCTCTGCGCCAACCACGAGCGCGTATATCAAGGTAGTCGTCGATTCTCATCTCCTTGAATCATTGAAACGCAATTATTGGAAAACGTGAATAACGTAAAATATTAAGAAAGTAATCATTGGGCAATAATTGAATCGAAATGGGAAAAACAACTCCGTTAGCGTAACTGAATTTTCTATTACTCAAGGACCAGATAGAAAACTCGCTTGTAGGAACAGGAAAATTCCTGTAGTTTCTACTCAGTTGCTCTCAGTTATCTCAACCGAGTTTTAACGCAACAGAATGTTCAGATGAATGTTCTCAGTTACAGCAACAGAGATATTATTTCTCATCAGCGAATGTTTCGTTTGATCCCCATCCAGTTACCCGAAATGAAATTTTCTTCCAATATTCTTACGCATTCATGGAACGATGAAGAATTTATAAAGAAAGCACAACTGTTTCTTCGCATTCGCAGGTAGAATGGTCCGACGAGTTCAGCTTCAACGTACACGCAAGATCGATCTATCCCTGCGAGGGATCAACGGGCATATCTGTGCTTTTCCAGTATCCCGCGTGTCGTCTTCAGGGCGATCGCGTGCGCGTCTACGGTCGTCTACGGGCAGACGTGAGCTCTCTCGCGCCACCGTCCGCGTTGCATTACGTGGCGGAGCTGAAGGCGGCGCCGGGCAAGCACTCGTTGAACTTCGACTGCGATATCTTCACCGAGAAGTTCATCGAGTACTGCTTCGTTTATGTGAGCCAGGCGATCACCGGCGCGATGGCGGAAGTGAAGCTCGCGTGCATACCCACCTTCCCGCTTCTAGGTGAGTGGCGTGCAAACGCGCTCGTTTAAAAGCGCCTCCATCTACCCCTCAACAGATTTACCGCTTCCATAACTCAAACGCTCGAGATAGCGCGAACTGTGCGAGCGACCAGCAAGTTTTATCATCCGTTGAACCTCGCGATTCCTCGATCCCGCTGCTCGATTTGGGTCAGAACATAAGGGCACGTTGAAACTTCTTGGGAAGATAAAACTGGAACATAAATTCAATTCTGAGTCAAATATTTGACTGATATTGGACTTTTTCTGTATTTTTACTATATATATCGTAATTTTTATTATAATTTTATAACTAATATTTTTATGAATTTTATTTCTGTCTGGCAAAAAAAACGTCGCTGTAAATAAGATTTTTTAAATGCTAAAATATCAAAGATTCTAAACAATTGTGAGAAAGAAGATACATTGTACAAGTTTAGATTTCTTGAGTCAACAGGGAGAGTGCTCAACTTTCCAGACATGTCGTGCATTGCACCCTTCTCATTATTAATTATTAACATAGAGAACGACGCGGCCGGTTGGGGTCCTTGGAGCGCGTGGAGTCCTTGCAGCAGCTCTTGCGTGGGTGGAACACGCAATCGATATCGATTCTGCGACACGCCACCTCCGAAGTACGGGGCGAAATTTTGCCAGGTGGGTGTCGGCGCGGTAAAATCGACGAGACCAAACACGAGATAATAACGAGAGAGTGCAAAATCGAAAGAAAAACAAAATGAAATGAACCAGGGAAAGGCGGTCGAGACGGAATCGTGCGGCGGCACCGGCAGGATCGATTTTCGAGAGGCGTGGAACACCGAGGGATGGGAGTGCCGGCACGGAATGACATTAGCGGCTGCGAGACCGGAAGTCACGGCGCAAATTGGCGTTCAGTGCCGGTGCGGTTGTATCGTCAATTTTCAGGAGAAAACTTTCAACAGGATCCTGGCGGCGAACACTCAAGCCTGCCCCGGCCGTTCTTTCTGGCTACTGCAGGTATACAAATATCCTGCGCACTATCATCTTAAAGTAAAAGAACAATTATTTTATTAAATTTACTTTCAATTCATTTTGAGCTTTTTTATGTGTAATATCATTTATGTAGTTTTATCGATTATAAATTGTCAATACTGCTTTGGATGGTTAATTTTTTATCAAGAATTGACAATTAACAAACGTTTTAACTTATGGACATACAGAGAAAGATCATACTGCTAAGAAAAACGATTATTTAATTTATTTTCTTTCTTTTAAATAATGGCTACCTTCAACAAAGAATATTTTCTTGTTAATAGTCTTAAAATATATTCATCACAAATAAGAAAAGCTTCTATATATATTATCATGTACTCAGAAGAAGAATTTATTCTATTTATATATATGAGAATATTATAAAACTCTATCCAAAAAAAGCTGGCTCGACTCTATGTAGTAAGCAAACTGAATGTTTGTTTTAATTTAATATTCTTGATTGAAATATGTTATACTAAAATTCAAAATGTATTTTGAATAAATTTAATGTGTGCTTGTGATAGATTTTCGAATATATAAACTTATAGAATATTTGAAACAAGCGACATTTATTTGAACATAGTATGCATTTTTCTATGTGCAGACAAAACCCGATTACGTGATCCGACTGCACCTGGATCAAACGCAATTCCCATGTCCAGGACAATACTTCCGCGCTCGCGACGGCGATTCATTGAGTGCCGACCTCTTGACGGACATCGCGTTCGACAAGAGTGCACCCGCGACGGGAACGATATTCTCCTCGGGTCAGAACTTGCTGCTCGAGTTCTTCAGCGACGAATTGACTGCCTCGGGGGACTCCTGCGTAGGTGGTTTTCTAGGTCACGCAAGCATGTTTCGTAAGTGACATTAATTGACACATAAAGAAATAAAGACAAATTTTCGTAATTTCGGCACGCACGTGTACTGGTGACATACTTTTCAGATAAGCTGTATGAGAAGAACAAAACGTCGATGTTGCTACCGTCGAAGACGAGTACCGCCCCCGCTGTTGAGCAATGGTTCTTCTGGGGTCCCGCGCATCTGGCGACAGCGTCCATTTTGATACTCATATTCTTTATATCTATTTTTCTAGCATTGCAATTTGCGCTGAAGTACAGGAAGTACCACATCGCGGAGGATTTGGATACTCTGAGTGAACATTCCGGTAAGTACCGGCCGTGCGGCTTATACGAAGCAAATGCGATAAAGAATTAACATCGCATGTGGAGGAACGCGCACATTGATGAGAAATCGCCGGGATTTGTGTATTATTTAGGCTGTAGCGACACGATGCACACGATGGTGGGACGAGCGAAATCGATGTCTTCTACGACGCTAATCTCGGAGGTCGCATCTCTGGTGGGACTGCCGAGGAAGTGTACACCGAGACTGTCGAAACGCAAACTGGCTCCCTGCGCGGTGGAGGACGGCTATGATAGCTCGGAGACTTTGGCGGAGTACGTGACGACTTGTGCTAAATATTGAATTAAAATTAACGTCCGAACATACGGTCTTTAATTTCTAATTTTATAAACTTTTTCTAACTACCTACTAATGTTATAGGTACGAGGACGAAACTAGCCTGAGCTCGACTACCTTGAAGTTCAAAGACAACGAGGAGAGCTGTACCGAGAGAAGCGTGATACCGAATAAACTGCACGCCGCTGAAATGCCGCCGACAATGTCGGCTATGATGGCAGTTGGTCAGCCGGAAGTGAAATATGCCCAGCCAGTCAAGTGAGCATAATCAGTTTGGCATGTTTGGCGAAGATGATATGATCTGATCTGATTCGATGTAATATCGATGTAAAACGGTTCGATTATTCACGCTATTATAAACGCGGTAACTACGTGGCGCGTGATGTAACTTTTCTTCATTCTTCGTATTAGATCGAGTATTATGTAAAAGCGATCTATAAGTGATATAGTTAATTCTAATGTTCTATAAGTAATCTAATTGATTCTAATATTCTGTAAGTAATTCTAATAAGTTACTTTTAATTTTATAAGTGGTTTAATCAAGTTAACTCACTCTGTACAGATTACGCACTCTGGGCTCCGACAGTCCGGCGACGAGCAACCTGACAATAGACGACACAAGATGCCAAAGTATAGCGAGCATCAACGACAGCCCGCACATCGCAAAACTCCATCGTTATCCGTTGCAGTCTAAGGTAGACAACATTCAATCCGATTACGTGTATAGAGTAGAAGTTAAGGCGCAATCAGTAGAGAGACAGCGTGATATTTCCTTCTCATAACTGCAAAAAAACATTTCAAAAGATATAGCATGCAGAAAACATAAATGATAAATTTAAAAAAATTTTGTTAACACGTTAACTTAAAATAATTCTCTGTCGGCTAGCGTTGTTGGTCACAAAGTAAAGGAGATACCAATTTCTGGTCTAATCAAAAATCATCATCATTGTCAGGATTCGTCGACAAGCAGTCCGCTGTCAAGAATCTCTACTTTACGCAGCGGTAAGGAAACGAAGGATCGTCGTAATCGCGAACGACTGCTCCGGGCAGGCCCGGGTTCAGAGTTCAGCTTGACAAATCCGGAGACCGACATGGAGTTGGACTATTACGATTACAACGTTGCGAATGCCGGCGCCGCGCCGGGTTCGTACTTAGGTATGGATCCCGCTTTTCTCCTATGGATTCCTCCGTTGATCTCCGAGGATTCTGAAGATCCGTCTGCGGATCGACCGGATTGTTTTCAAGGCACAACGAGCTCAGCGTTGTTCTGTCTACCGGAGAGCACTGAGGGCGCGAGCCTGACGCCGGCCGAGTATCGGCGTATGCGGCATCTCAGTGCCGAGGAGGCCAGATCGAACCTCGAGCAGAAACGCCAGGACTCAACGTCCTCGTCGTCGTCCAAGAACGACTCGTCGTCGGGCGGTAGCGCTGTTTCCGAGGACAGCATCGCGGAAAGCAGAGCCAGACTGAACGAGCGCTTGCTGCCGATCCACCGGATCCTGGAGGACTCCAGGACCCGTGTGAGCGAGGAGTCCCTGTGCAGTCAGCTCGCGATCGATAGAACGCAATGCGTCATTCCCAATCGACTTTACGGCGGCAAATCCGATCTCTGCCAGGAGCAGGAAGCTGCGAAAACTAGCAGTCGACAAGGTAGCCTTGTAAATATTAACGACGGCATCGCGGCGAGATCGGAGGACAAGTTGGAGAGATCGAGGCAGGCCACGAAGGGACAACCGGATGATACCGGTACTCGTGCCACTTCGAGATCACATATGAATCAAAAGACCAAGGATATCTTGCAGGAAGATAAGAAACACTACCTCAAGGACGAGAGCATATCCAAATTCCCCGGTAAGACGACAAGCTCGAATCCACAGAGTTACACGGACGGTAACGCGACGGAAAGGCTCGACAAGGATCTGCGAGCTGCCAAGGACGATCCCCGGTCGGACGTTCTGCTGTCGAACCTGAACACGACGCCCGGCAAGTATCGAGACTTCACGCAGTTCACGCAGCCACGTGAGTCAAATAAGCAGCTGTCGGACTGTACTAACATACCGATGATCGAATTCTCGGGGCCGCGACTAGGCTCACCGCCGACGACGCAGAAACTCACGACCGACAACCTGAACATTAGCCTGTCCAAGAAGGAGATCCAGAGTCCGGATTACGGGGTTGAGAGCGACATGAAGACGGAGTCGCGCGAGACCTTCTACGATCTGATTCGTGAGAACGAAGACGGGATTAAATTCGCGGACGATGACGACGAGTATATCGATAACAGAGCGAATCTGTGAAACTTGTTGTAATTACTGCATATGGGAGCGCAATAAAGATCACTGCTATTTTATGGCTGAAAATCTTATACCGGCATTCGTGTACTGATTTTAGGGAGATCTGAAAATCATTCAACCTCGAAAATCATTCAAAGAGGTTCTTAAGCCTGCCACCTGATTTTACTTTGCTCCCACCAAAAATGTGTTTCTTACGCGATCTCTCGTTTTCTTTCTCTATCTCTTTTTTTCTCTGGTTCTCTCTCTCTCTCTCTCTCTCTCTCTCTCTCTCTCTCTCTCTCTCTGTGTGTGTGTATGTGTCGCGATCGGAATAATGTACAAATCATCTATAAATGCTAAATTAACTAAGAGAAATTAGATTCCACTGTATTTTTACTAGCTAATATAAACTTCATTGTAACAACACTGTGATAATTATACACTTGTGATAATTTTCCGAATTTGAAAATCTGGTTTTCACTCTAAGCCTGGCGAATTAGTATATCGCAATGTTGTCAGAAAGTTTGCAGATGACGGTATCGATACTCCGGGGGCGTCTGGCAGTATCAACGGTGATCGAATTTCACGGGGCGTCTGATAACGATTCCATTTTTCTAGTAAGAGAGAATCAGATGAGTGCGAGCCGTTGACTCTTATCGACCCAAGATGCGGCTTCTACGGATGCTCGGTCTTCTCGTGGCTCTCTGGCAACATCGATCCAGTACGTGAAACATCTTATATCTTTACTTGAGTGAAAACCGATCGGATCTATAAGTTGATTGTTCAATTAACAAGCAAATTCACAATTGAGATAGCACGATGAAATCTAAAGTGCAATTTACTTTTTTTAGACGCGTCGTTCATCGCCCAGGAAGCGGAAGTAAGCGTTGTGACGCGAGGATGCAAGAATTTGGAGAGCACGACGCCGTTACTTCGTCTGAAGAAAGACCTCTTCTGTGCTTACGACACCAACGTCCGGCCGAATCAGTACAAAACAGCCACGAACGTCACTGTGAAGCTGATGCCGAAGTTGATGGAATTTGTGAGTACCCTGTCGCGAGAATACGCAGTACATTTCATGTAGACCGATTAATTATAGTTACGATCGTCAAGTATTAAATAACAGCATGTAGAGGCGGCATTAATTAATTTTGCCTGCAGATGGGGGACCAAGGTATATTCACGCTTCATAGTTGGATGGCGATTGTGAGTGTGCATTGTCTACTTTGCTCGTTATGTGCGCGCGTGCTCGCGCGTTTCCGCTTTAATGAAACGTAAATTTAATCAACAGTATTGGACAGACTTTCATCTTACTTGGATACCGAGAGATTATGACGGAGTCAATTTTATCCACGTGAAAACCTACGAGATCTGGGTGCCCGATATATCCGTTTACAATTCGTAAGTCAGCGCACATTGAAACATAGACTAGAAACGAAAAGAATCCGGCGCAATAATCTAACAAGTGACACAATCTGCTCCTTAAAATATTCGTGACAATTAAACCTTAATTCTTACCTTACGACTTCAGGCTGGTTCCTTGCCGCGACTATCTTCCCAGATAGCACAGAAAATTCAAAAAAAATTCAAAAAAAATTCAGTCGTATGTCACCAATTCTAAGTTCATTTTTAGATGCAAAGAGAATTCTTCAAAGTTTAATTCAGTAAAAAGAATTTTTTTTGCACAAAAATGAACTCAGAATTGGTAACATTTGACTGAATTCTTTTTGAATTCTCTGTGCTATCTGGGTTCATTTATGATGTCAGAAGAGCGAGAAAATACATGCTGAAAATTCTTATAAAATGTAGGAATTCTTGTAAATTATAGGAATAAGAAAATGTATCCATAAATATATCCATTTGCAATCAATCGAGCAGATATGCAGAATAGTCCAAACACCTCCCTTTTGCTGCGACAATCAATAACTATAAAATTTCCTTCAGTGGTGACATGTCGCACGATCAAAACGAGTTACCTGTAACGGAGTGCGTGGTGTTCAGTTCCGGTTCCGTCACCTGCGTACCGGCCGTGAAATACATCTCCAAATGCAGTCCGGATTTCACTTACTGGCCTTACGACAAGCACAAGTGCCGCATCACGCTCGGCTCATGGTCGTACACGGGCGAGGAGATCGACTTCAACCTGGTTGGAAACGGGGTAGGCGAATGAAGACACGTTTTTTCAACGTCCAAATGTTACTCTCCATTGCCCGCTTCTTTATTCTCTTCATATTCTGTAGGTTCACATGAACAGTTATGACAACAACTCAATGTGGGACATGAAGTTCATAGACGCGGTGAAGCAAGTCAAGAAGTACAAGTGCTGTCCGAACGACACGTTCCCGAAGATCGTCTACACGTTCGAGTTGACCCGGCACTACGGTTTCAAACACGCACACGTCATCACACCGGCCATCAGTAAGTTATCCTGTAATCGCGTGCAATATGAAATCACAGTGCGAGTTATATACTTCTTTTCTCTCTTCTAGGTCTGATGTTACTTACCATTACGATATTTTGGTTGGACTCAAGGTCGGTAGAACGAATGGCGGTAGCGAGTGTGAATTTAATTTGCCATCTACTCTGCATATTCGACTTGCATTGGCAATTGCCGTACAATGGCATTAATCCGCCTAACATAAGTGAGTGATTACAGTTATTACTTAAAAAATTTACATCATTTAATGATAAAAGAACATCGATAAGAATTGGTACAGGTTTGAAATTCCTGGCTTTTTGCCGCGATTACCTCGACTTATGACATCAGAAGAGCGAATTAAATACAAAATTCCTGCAAAATTCTTGCAAATTAGAAATAAAATGTGCTTATAAAATGTAGTCAATCGAGCAGACTCGTGAAATACAAATACACTGTTAGGACAAAGTTTAAACTTAAATTTAAGTTTAAAATAATATTGATCACTTTTTGTGCTAAGAAAGAAAAAAATAAGACTGATTATATTTCTCATGTTTTATTGTCGTTCCAGTGCTATTCTACCGCGAATCCTTGGCATTGACCACCTTCGCATTGATTCTAACCGCTCTGCTGCGCAAATTGCAATACATGAGCATGGAGGCGCCGACTTGGATCTTGTCCACGACTTCGTTCGTCTTGAACAACAAAGTTGGTCGTCTTCTATTCCAAAACAATGAAGAGTCGAAGATGAGCGAAGGAGCAGTGATTGAAGAGAACTCGGATATACCGAGGTCCGGAATGCAAACAAAAGAATCCTCTTGGAGACATTTAGCCGCTATCATCGAGTGGTTGTCGTTTTTCTGCGTGATCCTCACATACTTAACCATTCTGATCATGCTTATGCCCACAGGCTAACCTATAATACCAACGTCCAATCGTGTCCCCATGAGCCCCCTTTCATTCGGTTTGTTTCTCTCCGCCATGTAAAATAAATGTAATTGTTTTTAATTTTACGAGGTAAATATCCGATTATATAGATGAATATTGTATAACAAATATTAGTACATTCTTACTTCCTCCTGCTTGTTATACTAGCAATTAACTTGAAAGATAGATACGACGTTTAGTGTGTTACATGAGACTAATAATGTACCTATAAGTACATAAATATTTATAAGTACGTAATAAAGTACGTGAAAGTATATAAATTGTTACGAAAAAGAGAGAACAAAAATTAAGATTAATAATTATCTGTTCGCGCATGTATGATTGATAAACGAGTAGACTTGTCTTAAATAATGAACACGATAAAAGCTCGCTGCTGTTACTGAGAGGGGCGGTCCTCGTGATCTGCAGTTTTACGTTTCGTTGGGATGCGGGAGATATCGAGGTGGATTTTTCGATAGGTCGTTTGTAAGATAAGACCAGAACACGATATTCTCTCTCCTTTTCTGTCTCTTATAAATTATTTCATAAGAACATTTATTTTTCCTTCTTTTTCGTTTGTTTCATTTCTTGCAAAACAGGTTTTCTTAGGACGCTTTTATATGAATATCATTTGTTTCCCGCTTGTTTATACAACAGCGTGAATTGTAAAACTTAATTTTATATCGTATCTCGTAAACGTAGAAACAAGACATTCGCTAGAACGAAAGTAATTGAAGAATATTACACTTAAATTCTACATATGGCGTTATTACACGCATGCCCTATAAATGATCACTTTCCAGCAGTGCTTGCAATCACGTTGCGCTCGGTACGTTTACGTTTTTTCGCTGTATCACATTGAATCGATTATGACTGTCGCTTCTTTTTTTTCTTTAATTCGTTCCTGCGAGATCAACATTTTGTTACACTATTTACACACGACGATTTACCGTTTCGCCTCTCCGGGGGAAACATTTACAATTGAAAGCGCGCGCGAGAATTTCGTATTTGAAGACAATTTCGTAGAAAAGACAATACGTGTGTATAAAAGAATGAATATGTGCGAACACGACGGATCGACGTGCCGTCAGTCTTGAATCCACATAACAGAATATGTAATCACGTATACCATGTACGAAGAGATATCGCTGCGCGATATAGGAAAGAAATAAAGCAGCGGTGGGTTTAGCGCGGCGCAAAGACACGCATACGAACGGAATGATCCGATTCTCATTGCGACTGATACAGCAGGTAGTCCTTGAGCGGTCTCGGCAACGGCAGCAAGTTTACCGCGTTCCTCTTCGTGTATTGCAGTATAGCGTCGCGGCACGCGCTCTGCAGAGTCGATACTGCTGAAATGCAGACACGGATAAGTAACGCGAAAAAAGACACCCTCTCAGTCGCTACTCCAAGTTGATATATCACATCGACACTCACCGCCATACAGTTGAACTATCCGAACTTGTTTCGTGGTGCCATAGACATCTACCACTGCACGCAAAGGACCAGCTTTATAGGGGATATCCTTTCCACACACGCCTTGATCTTCCCCATTAATTATGAAGTGCATCTCTGCTTTGTCAGAGCCTGCTTGTGGCACGTACATAATGCCAATGCGACTGCCAGCATCAGTAGGCAAGATATACTGGGAAGAGCCAAGTGTGTTTGGTCTCAGGACACTATAAGGAATGACTCCGCGTGATGTCTGGACATTGACACCATCTGTGACCAGTTTCTTCTCTCTGGATGGTATTCCTTCATCTTGAATAACAAATCAAGAAAGTCAGCATCTAAACAATGCAATTGAGAAATATAATATTGATACGACACAACAGGTTTGCTGTTTTTTGAAAAATTTCTGAATTAATACAAGTTAGAATAAAACAAAAGGTCTATTCTTTTCAGCTGAACTAAATTGTACTTTTTAGACATATTCTTCAAAGAACTTCCTGAACACAAACAGGTCTAATGATAGACAGAAGATAATGTGTCAAATAGCCAGAAATTTCTACATGAAGGCTAAAGGCATTTTAAAAACACCAAAAAAAAAACAGACCTAATGTTAATTGTATAACTTGCAATTGAAAGGAAACGATAGATTTTTGGAGTCTGTCATTACAGGTATGAACTATTAACCATAGCCAGTATAGTCCCAGATTGTCTGATTTCTCGTTATGGCAAAAATCCATGTATTGCCCAATCTGACAAGATTAGGCATCGCATATTGTGGCAGGTTATTGTTGACTGAGGCTGGGTCGATGAGAGTAAGGCCCAGCCGCATGTGTCCACTCCATCCCCTTTCTGTCTTCTCGATCTCCACGAGGAAGATCTCCCCGGGCTGCAGTGGCTTCTCGCTGAAGGCTACAGAATTGGCAAAGCTCGTAGTGCGTACCGCCACTGTATTGTCCTCGCGCAGGACGATATTGTCACCGTGAATGTGATGGAACCTAGTCACTACTTTTCTACTTTTCTCGCTCATCGTGGCGCGGCACAGAACGAAACGAAACGCTCATCCAAAAGAAACTACCGGCAGACAGCAATGCGATGACAGAGCAAGACGCGTTGAGTACATGCCTGATGTCGAGAACTGACAAGCACAGTTTGCCCGACGACGTTCACTCTCGTCGAAGAGAAACGCGGGAAATTTATTACATAGGTTCCGTGAGATCACTCACGGGTCTCGCAAGGACAACAAAGTCGGTCTCAACTATCAATTCTTGTGACACTGCATCGAGACGAATTCGCGAAGCGTAGTTACAGCACTAGCGGCCATATCGTAGTGCTTGTTGTTACGAAAGATTTTCGTCACATTAGACTCTCGCCTCAGAGTTCAATAAGCGACCGTCGTGAACGCGAACATCTGAGAGACGTCACTTCGTGACCCCTACGACTTGACACAAGATAGGAGCGGAAGCGTAGTAATAACAGCGGTGAACGACACTTCTCTGTTTACGAAATGAATGACTATACTCTCTTTCTCTCTTTCGCTATATATATATATATAATATGTATATAGATGAGTGACTACCATAGTGGCGATTCTTTCATGCGAATGAGATGCGCATACGAAAATCCTATATTTCACGTTACATATACTATAAATTTTCGCATACGTATCTCATTTGCACACCGTCAGGAATCGGGCCCAAGATGATAGTTTCTGTTCAGCACGAATTCCGATTGGCTTTTGCCTTTTTGTTTTTTGCTAAGATGTGAATTTTCCTTATGGACTCGTTCCGAAGTCCCGATCTATAGAGGCGCGTTCGAAAACTCCACCCAGATGCTTCTTTTCTCTCTTTATCTCATTCCAGTGGGATTTTGTAAGTCGTTATTGGAGTTAACACAGTTTCGTTATCGTTGCGTAGCTTTTCTACGGTATACAAAAGTTGCGTAACGATAACGAAACTATCGTTAATTCCAATAACGAGTTACAGAATCCCAGCACAGGGCCCTTATTCTTGAAATAGTTGCGTATACGTAAGTTTTACTGCGCAGGTTTAATCATACCATAAAATAGCTGCGCAGTAAAACTTACATATACGCAATTATTTCAAGAATAAGGACCCTGTATCTTTTTCAATCCAACGCAGCGAGTGCACCCGGATAGAATTTTCGAACGCACGCCAATAAGTGTAGTAAGCTTAAGGCGGGGAGCACCATCAACATATAGGCCGGTATTCATAGTCGAATCTTATTTCAAGATCATCTTAAGTAATGTCTTAAAATGCGAATACGACTCTATGATTGATTTATGACATCTTAAGACAGTAGGTTTGTTCTTTCGACCTGACCTAGGGCTGCACTGGAACTGTACTAGTTGAAGAAAGTTCAAGATAGTGCAGACCAGTGCAAAGATACATATGGGTCTGAAAAGAACGGGTAAGAGCAAGTTAGAGCAGTGTAAGATGGCGGACAACATGGCTGGATTAAATAACATAGATCAATTTATGGTCATGTTTTCGCACTTATAGCATTTTATGTTTTGTTGAACAATCCTATTTCTTTTAAAAACTGTTTTGTGTTGGATACCCATACAACAAATCCCTCCGAAAAAACGTCCAAGAGCCTTCCCAGGATGTCTTTCGGATATTTTGTGCTGTTTGGATAACATTCTAAATACTTCT